TTTGAATTAGTTTAGCAAGGACTGAAAACCCTGAGAGTTGAACAGGGAACTTGTGAGCGAAGATAGGATAATGAGGAGTGAGTTTCAGAAGGGCCTCCTCACCTACATCTTGCACAGTGGAACTTGGGCAAGACATATAGGTGTGTGACTAGGGGAAAATGGGGTGCAGAAGCCTGGGCGGGCTTGTTGGCAAAGGCACTCATTCCTCCAGTCCTCTAACTTGGCTTCAGCTCACTATGTAGCCTGAGCTTTGAACTATTTCTCTGCAATGTCAGCGTTTTCACCACTGCCTAGGAAGGGAGAAGGAGAATGTAGCTGGATGAAAACAGAGATAGAAACGACTTGTTTTTATTTTATTGGTCTATGGTTGGTTTATGGATTGGAAGAGGCAAACTATTAGCTGAACTGAAGTTTCCCCTCATAAAAATGGAGAGCAGAAAATTGCACATATCAGCTGCAGAACAGGGTGTAGCCATGTTTTTGTGGCAGAACCCGTGCCCCAGCTCCCACTGCCCATGTTTCATGGCTCTTGTTCATAAAAGTGAGTGTGTTGAGTTATGCTGGTAGTACGACTAAAGGCATAAACATAAACTTGTTGAGGATGCTTAAACCAATCCATTAATGTATTGCCTGGCTCAGGCTCTTATTCTCTAGATACAAATAGCTGAGTACCAGAAATGTGTTAAAACTAGGGCAGAGGTTTCGCAAAGGGTCTTCTCACTGGTTCTTAAACCTGGCATTATCTGGGGAAAGTCGATTTCCTAATTCTTGACCATTGTAAAACTGCCAAATGAGAATTCAGAAGTGTCTGGAATTGTGATTTTTTGGAAACCATTAGGTGTTTCTGATTACCAGCTATGTTCATGAGCCATGGCTACGCTCATTTATTACCCAAAACAAAAGTATGAGTAATCCTAGTTTATAGATGAGAAAGCTGAGGATCTGGAATAGGAAGCTGCTCTAGGTAACACCACTAATAAAGTGCCTTAGAGAAGGTCAAACCTATTGTTCATCAAAACGTCCCCCAAACCTACAGTAAATAATGATCAGGCTGTCTCCAATCCATTAACTGCTCATTATTTTCCTCAAGGCTATGGTGTACCCTTTTGAGGAAGCAACAAGTTTTATCATGTTCTCTCTTTCCTATCAGAACTCTCTCTCCCTCCCACCCATATTGGGAGTTAATGATGCTGCCTATCTTCTGACACTTGGAAGCCCACATTCTCCAACATCAGCAACCTTCCTGGTCGAGGCCTTCCTACCTCAGGAACTGGGTGCTAACCATCAATGTGGGCGAAGGGAAGGGGAAAACGCCCCACCCTCACAGAGCTCCACCCTCCTTCCTTAACAAGGATCAATTTCCATCTCTCTCAAGTCTACCCAACCACCTGTGATTCTCTATGAAGTCCATGCATTAAAAGGCTTTTGCTTGCTGGGCATGGTAGTGTATGCTTGTCATCCCAGCTACTCGAAAGGCTGAGGTGAAGGGTCATAAGTTTGAGGCTAGCCTCAGCAACTTAGGTAAGGCCATGTTTAAAATAAAAATATAAATAGGATTGGGGATGTAGCTCAGTGATTGTGTCTAGGGTTTCAATCCATAGTACCACAAGCAAACTATCTGTATAAAATCATTCATTCTACTTTTAAAAAGTACATTTGTACTTATCAATGAGACCTCTGCTAAATATTAACTAGGATTACAGTGTCACTAAGGAAAAAAAAAAACCCTGTTGTTATCCTGTGCAGCCTAATTTCAGCCTTAAAATAATGAATTGCAGAAAACAAAGAATGGTTGGGATCACAGAGTGGAAATAACAGTTGCCAAAGGAATAATTTTAACAATGAGAACGTCAGACATCGTGGAGGGAGGGCCGAATCATAGGCTTCACAAACCTTTGCCTAGGTTAACAGCCATACCCACTGCTGTGCATCAACTCTGCCCTAAACTGTCAAAAGACGTTCTGGGGAAGACCATGTAGATGGCATCCACAAGATTACAAAAAGAAACACTTCAAATATGTCCAGAAGTGTTCTCTGCTGAGGGGAAAGAACTCACTACATTCAATGGGGTTTACAAATTTCATCCTTGATAAGAAACCCCTACAGAGCTTGTTAGGGAATTTCATTCCCTGTTCTGCCTGCTGGGGACGGCAATTCTAAGGCTGAGCTTGGGTTTGGGGTTCTGCATTTTCATTAAGCACTGCATGTGATTCTGCTAAGGGATTTTTCCTTAACTGGCTACTTTTTAAATTTTCATAATGTAAGCAGTTCCAAGAACAGGACAATGAACACCAGTAGACTCTTCACTGAGATCGAGGGTCAGCAAATTTTTCAGTAAAGGGCTAATAGTAAATATTTTCAATTTTTTTATGGGCCACAGACTCCTGCAACTATTCAATTCAGCCATGGCCACATGAAAGTCCCAATAGTCAATTCAGAAGTGAATGAGCTTGGCTGGGTTCCTTCCAGTTCCTACCTTACTTATGAACACTAATGAAAATTTAAATTTCATAGAATTTTCACAGTATAAAATATAATTCTTCTTTTGACTTTTTCCAACTTGTTGTTATTAAAAATATACAAATAATTATTAGTTCCCTATAGTGCTACAGAATACCAGACAAGTAGCAATAATGCATCATACATCTTAAAATAATCAGAAGAGCCAGCCAAGGTGATGGCCCTATAATACCAGCTACTTGGGAGGCTGAGGCAGGAGGATCACAAGTGCATGGCCAGTCTTGGCAACTTAGTGGAACCCTGTCTCAAAATGGAAAAGGAAAAAAAAAAAATCAAGGTTGACTAAGAGTAGAGTTCAGTGGTAGAGAATCCCTGGGTTCAATTCTCACTATTAAAAAAAAAAAAATCAGGAGAGGAATTTATACTCACCATGAAAAAAGGATAACAGTTTAAGGTGGTGGGTATGCTAATTGCCCTAAATTGATAACTCCCCGATGCATGTGTGAATTATCACACTGCAGTGTGTCTCATGTATATAAATGTGTCAATTAAAACTAAAAACAAAAACCCCATTCTTAGTTCAAAATTGCAGGCAGGGAGCTTACAGGTCATACTTTGCCAACTCTAATTAACCAATTGTGATCATCATATCTAAGCTTTCCTGAGGATGAATTTTAATTACTTTTCATTTTTAGACTCACCATGTTGTCCACATAAAGGAAATTACAGAAAACGCATCTGGGAAGATGTTTTCTGACCCATCCTGTTTTATTTTTGAATAGAACATTTTCACAGCTTGGTATAGGCTGATGTTTGGGGACATCCTGTTGGGCAGAGCTTCTCATTTAGAAATCACAGTTCAATCACGCTCTGATTTTATCAACTAGGAGCAAAACATGTGCCAACCTTTTCCCACAACACGAGGACCTAATTAAGCATTGTTTTTATGGGTTTCTTTCTCATATTGAAGCTAAGTAAGAGTAAATGACTCAAATGGCCCAGCAAATCATGAGAAACAGGTTATCATCTGTGAATGAGGAACTGGGAATGACTTTCCTTCATTATTTTTTGTGCCCAAACCCCCTCACCACCCACATCTTTTGTTGAAAATTTGCTCTAGACCAGAGAGTCTGCTCCCATTTCTAGCAAACTGGGTCATTACCAAGTCCTACAAACAGTAATGATACAAATCTGTCACCCTATTAAAGGTTTTCACCTCCAGGAGAATTTATAAGGTCATTAGGCATGGTTAATAAGTATCTGAAAACTAAATAAGAAATCTAGAAGAAAAACTCCAATTCTGCCACTCAAAATCAACAAGCATTGTCTTGGGGTATATTTATCGACTGGGAATAACAGAAAAACACACTTGGATTAACTGAGTGCATTCCTTTCTTTTGAAATGCCTTTCAACCAGACTGGCCCAAACATGATTTCATCTCTTAGGGAATAAAAACCTAGTTACCTGAGGCATGAAATCCTCCTTCCCTCGCCTCATTGCCCAGCCCCCCTCAAAACAAAGTAACTCCAAGGCATGAGGACCTGTGAGGAAGTTAGGGACAGAGGAGTCATAGCTCCCTGGCCCCCAGTCTACACATCAGCTTAGCGGCTGCCTTGGAGTCATTTTCCATGACGGGAGGTGCATCTGCCTTTCACCTTCTCACAAGCACTCTCTCATAGCCTCTGAAGATAGCATATGGCATCCTGGCTCAGGTGGAGAAGCAGGACCCATGCAGCAAAGATGTAAAATGCTGGTCTGTGGACAATATGAGAGACCCTGTGTTTCCCATCAGCTGGCTGATTTGTAGCAGCCACATTTCTGGAGCTCAGTCAGTTGCCTCACCTGATAGAAAATGCTTATAAACCTATAAATCACATTGGAATACAATTTCTCAGTAGAATTAGAACAGACTGCTAGCTCCCAAACGCCTGAAATGTGTGTATCAACTTGTAGGTCTAATTCAACAATTGGAGAGGGTTAATGACTGAAAACCGTAAAAAAAAAAAAAAAAAAAAAAAAAAAAAAAAATCTATTAAAAAAAAGAGAGAGAGAGAGACAACAAGTGAAACGCTTTGGTTAGGGTTACAAGTCCCATGAGTAATACAGGAAACTCAAATAAAAATAGTAGATGAACGCAATTGTGTTTGGATCACAAAAATAATAATAATAATAATAATTACAGACTGAAGTTCAACAGTGGGCCTATTATTGTGTTAGTACAGTGATTCTGAAACCTGGCTTCATATTAGAATCACCCAGGGAGCTATAAAAAAATTCCAATGCCCAGGCTGCACCTCAAACCAATTAATTCAAATCTACAGGGTGGGGTCCAGGCCTCTGTATTTTTTAAAGCTCCCCATGGTGATTCCAATGTGCAGCCAGGATTGGAGAATATGGAGACTATGGTCCCACCCTGCTGATGCTCAGTCTTACAAAATCTACTCACTGGATTTTCTTTCCTTATTTCCGCCAATAACTTCTTTGCAGCTAGAATGCGGAACTTTAAAAAAAATCACAGAGATTCACAGACACACGTGTATAAAATACATGCATACATTATTTTTATTTATTTAACTTAGACCCTGATTATTAGTATATAAATCAGAAAAAACTGAGTGCCTTGAAACTTACCCATCCTCCCCAAATCTTTAAAGAACCAAACTCTAAAAAACACACATCATAGATATTTAACTCATAAAACACACATACACACGAACTTTAATCACTTTCAGGAACCATGATCCAATAATATATTTAATAGGTAAAATGTCACTCATCACTATACAAGGGAAACAACAACAACAACAACAACAATAACAACCCACACCCAAAAAACAGATAACCAAACTTTGATTAAGACACGTGCCCTTAGCACGAGCACTTACAGTTAGAATGGTTTATCGGTAGCACTTTGAGGTAGCATATTCTGTAAAGTAACAGAAGTCACAGAGCTGCTCTGTAGTGTCTCCTGGACACAGAAGTACAGGCCATCAGCCTTGGCCCTTGGTAGAGGAAAGTGAATTTGTCCATGCTTATTTCCAACGTCCGCCTGAACACCCTTGGCCATCCCTCCACCAGACTTGTGCCTTGTGGGTTTATAAAAACATAAAGGCATTTTGAAGTATCTTTCCTCCTGATGTGCAACACCCAGGCTGTGGAGCCAATCTCCTTTTGCCACACACAGCCCTCACTGGCAGGAGACACAAGATCCCAGTGGAAAGGGAAACTGGGTGTCATGATGCCCTTTTTAATTCCTTAACCATTTAATGCAGAGTGACTCACTCCTTTAAGGCTATGAAGAGGCTCATTTCTCAATATTCGCTTCATGATTCTGACCCTTAAAAAGCCTGCCTCCCCTCATCATTCTGGAGTATCATTAAGCTTTCTGATTTTCCTGGCAGGATGGTGAGCAGAGAAGCTTCTGAAAAATCCACACTAAAACATTAACAAAAAACCTAGGTGCAAGAGCAACACCAAGAACACACTTCCCTTGTGCAAGTTAAAAATAACACAAAGTTTACAGTTCAGGAAAACATCCTGCTTCTTTAAAACAAAACAAAAACAAAAACGTAACTGTTCAGCTCAGCTCTGCACTTCAAACAAATACACAGTCAAGACAGATTAAGGATTAAAGCTGCAAAAACTGGTCCCAACAACCTCAGACCCTAGTGCAGGTCAAATTTTTGCTCAATGGTCACAGATTAAAGGGATTTCTCGTCCCCCAAAGCCCTTTTGTCCCAATATACTTCCTGTTTGAAAATTGATTCCTTAGAAGTAATCAATATACAAATGAATAAAAATAGCACATGTCCAGGCAAAAAAGGGCATGAGCTGGGCCTGAGTTGTCATGTAAAATTCTGTCATTCGGCATCATACAAAATTCTCAAAGGCTTCCCAGAAATAGGGCCCCAGGCATTGCTGAATGAGCCAGACACCCAAATCAACTGCTTTGCGACACAACTGAGCGTCAGACTTCAAGTATCCAAGGTGCTACAGTAGCAGGTCCTCTAAAGAGCTCAGGCTGACTCTCAGAAGCCCCCATCCCACTCCGCCATGCCCATTATACAAAACGTTTATACATATATATATATATGGTCATTACCAAATAGTAGGGCGCAAGGTGAGGAACAAGAGAACTGCTCTCTGAATACACCAGCCTTACCAAGACAAATAAATCCTTAAACATTTTATACAACTAGAAGGTGCGCGAACTGGTATTCAAGCAATTCCTTTAAAACTCTTTTCTCCCCTTTTAGTATCAAACAAGAAAACGGTTCTGTTGGGTTAACAGTGTCATTTTTAAATGCCATAAATTAAATAAGTTAGTTCACATTTTTTTCCCCCAGCACTTAAATTATAGTCAGTCTCTAAAGCGCTTTTGAAGCTTGCTTTAACAATTCCAGATCTCTTCTGCGGATGCTTCCGGCCCTGGGACATCCATAATCATCTAGCTGCAAAGGTATGAATTCTTCAAGCACCCCAAGGCCCTGTCCAGCAGGACTGGTAAATAGCTTAGTCCATGATGGTTTAAAGTTTCCACTGAATCCCAAAAATATGGTACTCCCTAAAAAAAAAAAAAAAAAAAAAAAGATCAATTTGTATAGTTACTAGTTTCCAGCAAGATAATGCAGAAGGTAAGTCAGGGCTGAGCAAAACGAAGTTATATGTACATATAAGCACTCTACAATTCCTCATATCAGCAAATGAACTCATGAGCTCTTACCACTCAAGTAACAAACCATATCCCAACACACTTCCTCTAACACTGTCCCCTTATGTAGATATTATCTTAATGATGCCCATACCTGCCAAACAAGCTCATGAAAACAGACTGGTAGCTCAATTCCACTGTAAAAGTACATATGCTGTTAGCCTCACAAGAACTTGATAGAATAATACAAATACAAACCTTTGTTATAAAGGTGAGCTGGTTTGGCTAATCCCAGAGGTATTAATGAATCTGAAATATTCAACCGCTTTATTTCTCCTCTCGTGCTCAACAGAACAATAGACCTGTAAGTGAAAGTGAGAAAATCAGAGTCAATTCTCATCATCCAGCAGGTATTTATTGAGTACCTTTTTGAACTGAGTACGATATAGAAATTCCAGAAAAAAGCAGAAATCAAAAAGAAAAACAGCTCAGATGCTTTTTTATTCTTGCTAGTACAAGTTCCAATTTTCTGGCTCCAGATGAAACTTCTCAGTTTACTACAACATAGGAAAACTCCAAAGTAGAGAAAGCAAAAGTTACTGATGTCTGACCCAGAGAGCAGCTAGGACTTGGCTCTTTTAAGGAATAATTTGCTGCTCATGAGAGTACGGCTTTTGTTTTACTTAAGATTCTTAATTTACCTATGGTTTATCATCATAGACACAATCTTCTTTTTTAAATTTTCATTTGTTATATATGACAGCAGAATGCATTAACAATTCATATTACACATATAGACCACAATTTTTCATATCTCTGGTTGTACACAAAGTATAGTCACACCATTCCTGTCTTCATACATGTACTTAGGGTAATGATGTCCATCACATTCCACCATCATTGCTAACCCCTTCCTCCACCTCCCCCACCCCTCTGCCCTATCTAGAGCTCATCTAATCCTCCCATGTTTCCCCTCCCAACCCCGCTATGAATCAGCCTCCTTATATCAGAGAAAAGATTCAGCATTTGTTTTTTTGGGATTGGCTAACTTCACTTAGCATTACATTTTCCAGCTCCATCCATTTACCTACAAATGCCATGATTTTATTCTTTTATTGCTGAGTAATATTCCATTGTGTATATACATCACATTTTTGTTATCCATTGATCTACTGAAGGGCATCTAGGTTGGCTCCATATAAACATAATATTAAAAATAAAAATAAGAGTTGAAAGTGTAGCTCTGTGGAAAGAGGCTTGTCTAAGATGCACAGAGCCCTGGGTTCAATCCTCAGGACTACAAAAAATAAATTTAAAAATAAATAAATAATAAAACAAAAGCTGTTCTCCATGGTTTTTGAAAAAAGTTTACATCTTTTAAACCTTGCCATCGTTATCATATAGTAAATCACCATAGTACTCTGATCCTTGTGGATCCTTTTCCTGGTTTAGTTACTATAGTTTCAAGGTTTATTTTAGTATTTTATGCTAACAAGTCCCTTGTATTATTGTAATTTGTTTAAAGAGTTTATACTAATACATTACTGATGGGATTACAAATTAGTACTGCCACATTGGAAAGCAGTATGAAGACTTCTGCAAAGACTAGGAACAGTATCACCATACGACCCAACTATCCCACACTTTGTTTTTTATCCAAAAGAACTAAAATCAACATATAATAGTGATACATGCATACCACCTTTTATAGTAACACAACCTATAACAGTCAAGTTATGAAACCAGCCTAGGTGTCAGTCAGCAGACAAATGGATAAAGAAAATGTCACACACACACACACACACACACACACACACACACACACACACACTGGAGTTCTACTCAGACAAAAAGAAAAATGAGATTACGGCATTTGCTAGTAAATGGATGGAAGCGGAGAACATTGTGCTAAGTGAAATAAGACAAACTCTCATAGTCAAGAGTTAAATGTTTTCTCTCATACGCAGAAGCTAGAAATAAAAAAGGAATACAAAAAGGAGATCTAGATCAGTCAAATAGAAGAGGGGGACCAATGAGGAGGGAGGAGGGGAGGGAAAGAGGAAGAACTGAGGAATGAAGTTGACGAAATTATGCTAAGTGCACGTATGAATATATCACAATTCAGTATTGTATTTAATTTCTTAATGTGGGTCTTGACTTTTAGACTAAGACTGTTAAGCTCTGTGCTGGGGTCGATCTTTCTAAAGCAGTGGAACCTCAATTCAAAATCAGCCAGAGGACTGTCCCCAGCAACCCTGAAGACATGACTTGTGTTTAGAGGTCAGAATTACTCAGGACTCTGCTGTGAGAACATTAACAGATCAGCTTGCCACCACGTGCCACCGTGTGCCCCCAGGTATATGCACACAACCAGACACATACATGTACACACACAAGCAAGCCTTCAATCTTCCTAGAAATCACTGCCAGTTGCCCCATAATTTCTCAATACTTGGTTAAATTGCAACATACATACAGGAACACATTCCTAAGTGTCCAAAAGACTTAAGTTTTTGCGAACTTAACATAGTTGCGTTACCAGCAGCCAGATCAAGAATTGGTATTACTGATCTCTCAAAAGCCTTTCTTACTCTTTCTAGAAACTACGTTTTTAATGAGTTGGTTTTTAACTCAAATCTATAGGTTAACTTGCAGGACTTCTGTGTTGTCCTAAATATTTGTGGTGAAATTTATATCCTAGACTGTTTTAGGGGAAATAAGTGCATGTGTTTTCATCATTAGGAAAAACTTTAAACCCTTAAAGAATATGGTAATCTCCAATAATTATCTTGAACCATAAGATAAAACTATAGACAACCCTCCATATCCACAGGTTCTGAATACATGAATTCAAGCAATCAGATCAAAAATATTTGGGAACAAAACTACATCGGTATTGCATATGAACAGACTTTTTTTTCTTTGTTATTGCTCCTTAAACTATACAGAATAACAATTATTTGCACAGCGTTTACACATAATCTAGAGATGATTTGAAATATACAAGAAGATGTGCACAGGTTATATGCAAATATGACACCATTTTTATATGAGGTGCTTGAACATCTTCAAATGTTGGTGTTTGCAGGGGGTCCCGAAACCATCCCTCATGGATACTGAAGGATGACTTTATATTACACATGGAATACTGCACCAAAATAATCCAGTTAGTTCATAAGACCTGGTCCTGTGTTCTATAAAAAACATAAGTAATAACATCAACTGAAAACGATTTGAAAGCTAGACAGGTCTTCACTCCCTGGGAAGCTTATGCTCTTCCCTGAATGGCTGTACTCAGCATCTGCAGCAAAGCTAAGGGGCAGAGAGGACCCTGAGTTCACATCTTTTCCCCCAGGAAAGGTCTGACCAACCCAGAAAAAGAAAGCTTTCTCTCCTGTACATCTTTCTTCAGATATCAACAACAACCAAAAACAGACAGACCAGACACTCAACCACTTAAAAATTAATTTACCCTTTTACAGTCATTTCCAAATGACTTCACTTCCTAAATATAGTAGAGTGCTGTGCAAGGGTCAATCAGTGGGACAAAGAAAACTGCCTGGAAAAGTACTTCAAAATGGTAATAAACCTTCTGGGGAGTTGGGTACAACATAGAGCAATTTAGTACTAAAGAGCAGCACAGTAGTGTTCCACACAAGGAACTTTCCTAAGAGCATTCTTATCATTTGCAAAATCTTCTAACATCTCAGTTCTGCCATGGATAAGTAACAGCTTGTCAACTGATTGGACCACACAGGCATCACGCTGAGGTGAAAAGGAATGAGTACCTTTCGCAGAGCCCCGAATGCCCACAGAGTTAAAGACCAGGTAGACATACCAAAGCTGCGTGGTGACCAGTGTTACCTGTGTAGAGGACTCCACATCCTCAAGGTGGCTTATCCCTGGTACAGAGTGAGCCAGACCTACCTTGGAGGGATGCTTGTTTTCAAATACTCTTCCATGCGACTGAAATCAGCAAGAAGGAAAAGCTTTCTTTCTGTCAACCGGAAGGGAACGCTGCACGCATCTACGAGGAGGATGAGGACACCTGCGCTTCGGAAGGGAAAGTCGGTGCCATTGACCTGGAGATACAAAATGTCCTCTGCTGTCATCACTGTTGCAGGAAGATCTCTGGGATAACTGGTCTTTCTAGCCCCTTCTAACCCATGAATCAGACTGTATTTCAAGGACTCGAGTTACATGTTTTACTTATTCTTCCCATCCAATGTCTGAAACTGCACCTTGTTCCTTTAAACTCTACCTACATACTATGCTTCGATCTTTGCTGATAGAGTAAGAGTCTCTGAGCCCCACCAAGCTGAGCTGGGTGACCCTTCTGCACTGCTTGGGACCTCAGGTCTACACACAAGCACTGTCCCTAGGGCAAGAGCTCTACAGTGACCAGGGGCTGGCCACTGTGCTACACCTATATACAGATCACAATCTGATTCATGGAGTTTGAAATATCATTTAAGTCCAACTGTTCTATCTCTTTTAGCTCTAAATATAGCCCTCTTCTGACATCAAAAGAGCAAAATGGTGCTTTTAAATGAGTTTTGAGCTACATTTTATTTTACAATGATCATGAGCTGAATTTTCATAATCATCCTCTTTAATAGTTTGTGATCTTTTCAAGAAAGAGGCATACTCTGGACACATCCAAATATTATTAAGTTCTCAGCCAGAAAGGAAAAATAAAACAGAGCTGGCTAAATACTAATCCACAGGCAATGTTACTCTTTGGAAAATCATAAACTGAACTAAAGTGAGCTAGCCAAGGAGAAACACTCTCACCACTTCACCTGACCTGACTTGGAGAAATTATATTCAAATTTTATTTCTAATCATATTGATCTTCCCAAAATTCAAAATAGTCTTGTTAGTTATGTTTAAATTGCTCTAATCTAGTGAAGAGATCTGGAGATTCTGAAATAAATTTGCTATGTGCAAAGTCTAGAAGAGATTCTCTTATTTTTAAAAAAATATGAATGCTTAAGATTGAAGTACAGCTGGATGTGGTGGCACATGCCTGTAATCCCAGCAGCTCAGAAGGCTGAGACAGGAGGATTGCAAGTTCAAAGCCAGCCTTAGCAATTTAGCAAGGCATGAAGCAATTTAACAAAACCCTGTCTCAAATAAAAAAAGAGCTGGGGATGTGGCTCAGTCATTAAGTACCCCCGAGTTCAATCCCTGCTACCAAAAAAATTTGAAGCACATTTGAGAAAAAAATATATAATGATTTTCAATACACTCCAACTGTTCTTGTGAAAAACTATCCTCCAAAACCTGTTAGTTAAATTAAAACTTTCCATAAAAAACAACGCAATGCCAAGTCCCAGGAAAGAATGCTTATATTATGTATCTGCAAGAGGGAAAAGCTGTTTTTCTGTCAACCAGAAGGGAACTCTGGAGATACACAGTGTCCCTTGATTTTTCCAGGGTCCCAGGCACCCAATATGCAGTAGTGGAATCAAACTAAGTCTTCAGACCTTGGGCATAACCTTTCTGAAGGTTTGTTGTTGTTGTTGTTGTTTGGGGTTTCGAGGGGCAAAACAATTTCTTCTTCAATTATCTAGTGAGCTATTAGAACAGTGGGCCTCAGCACCTACCCTCCTCCCTTATGCAACTCCCAACAGATGTAATCAGTAGGCTGGGATCAGGCTTCATGAATGCATGAAGAGGCTGAGCTAATAAATTCTATGCTCATAAAATTACATCTTCAGCATCGTACAAAACAGGACTGTTAACACAGGGGAATGAATGTCAATACAGTCTTTAAGAAATCTTTGAACTACATTTAAACAGGAATCTCCTTAATTCAAAGCTATTAAGTAAAATTTAAATTTAAATTCTGGAATTAGATGGTGGTGGTGTTTGCACAATATGAATGTACTTCACACCACTGAACTCAACACCTAAAAATGGTTAAGATGGTAAATTTTGTGTTAAGTGTCTCTTACTACAATAAAAACAAATTGGGAAAGAAAAAAAAAACTAAAATTTAACTTTGTCCACTTAAAAAATGGATATGTGATCATGCTGTCCACCACTGGGGAAAAACAAAAAATGAACTTCTGAAGAGATCATGTGAGACAGGGTGCAGGTCCTGGCTGGCTATGAACCGGATGGCTAGATACCTGCTCCCCCAAAGAGTTCTTTACAAGGTGGCTCCCAGGTCAACCTGGTTTGGGATAGGTCACAAGCCAAGGTTCGATTCCCATGACTAATTTGACTCTAAGCCCAAATTCTAGCGTTGACACTGAGACTCATTACTGTACTTCCATTAAACCACTTTTAAAAAGACAGCTAATTCTTGTATTTTCACTTTCCTCACCCCCCCCAAAAAAAAAACACTAAAAAAATAGACAACCTCAAAATAAAAAGCTAAAGAAATTTTAAAACCTTCATTCCCCATATCTTGAGAGATCATTTTAAGTTGAAAATCAAGGTAAAACAGTTTTCTATGTGATGATTGCTTATAGCAAACCAAAGATGTCTTTTCTCTTATAGAAATGAAATCAGGGTCATCCATAACAGTGACTAAAAGATAATGTGAACAAGTGTTAACATTAGCCCAAAAGTAATCAGTCAACAATCCACTTGGAAAAAAAGAATTTTGATAATAATGTATTTCAAAACACATTACAAATGTTTAAAGAGGTTTTTATGCCTCATTGTATCATTTGCCACCAATAATCAAAAGGTTGTTAAAACCAGTGACTACTCTCAGAGTTAATATAGGTCATCAGGATAAAGGATAAAAGCAAGAATCCACCGCAGGATACACACCTGCTATGGTCAGAATGTTGTGGGGGCAAAACTTCTGTTGTATTCCTAATTCCTGAAGTGATGGTATTAGGAAGTGGGGTCTTCAGAAAGTAATCAGGACATGAGAGTGAAGCCCTCAGGATAGGGACTAGTGTCCTTAGAAAAGGAACTCAAGAGAGAACCCAACCTTTCCACCATCTGAGGACACAACAGAAGGCACCAAGATATAAGAACCAGAAAACAAGTCCTCCTCAGAGGCCACATCTACCAGTGCTTTGACCTACCTGTGTGCTGCCCAGCTGCCAGAACTGAGAGAAACAGGTTTCTGTTGTGTGTAAGCCACCCCACCTCACAGCAGCCCAAACAGACTAAAACAACACAAGACAGCACTTACAGAAATAATAGATGGGTCTCCGCGCTGAGTCTCTGCTTTGCTAGGTGACTGAAACTGCACAGGGAGGTAGCTCTTGTGAGGATCACTGGTAAACACCACCTAGATAGGAAGAGGTTCCATATTTAAGGTGACTATATCTTCTTCCCAAAGGGTCCATCAAAAGAAACTCAATTATATTATCAGTGCCATTGTGTTTCTGTTTCTGAGATTTCTGTACGTATTGCATAACCTAGAACTCCTTTTTTTTAAAAATATTTAATTCAAAAAGTGTAGTTTTTCATTTTCTGAAACAATCTGTTTCAAACAAATATAATCTTGTTGACAAAATTAATTCAGGGGCTGGAGGTGTAGCTTAGTGGTAGAACATGGGCTCAGTATGTGCGAACCCCTGGGTTTGATTCCTAGCATCCTGCCCTCAAAAAATTCAGTCATTTCAGTAAATAACTTAATAAATATGCATTAAATTTAAATTATTGTAAGCATTTTGGGCAGATACAGATACAAATCTTTTTAAAAGTTCTTTTCTGATTAATTATCGTGAATTAGGGCTCAGTCATTCTAGGATTGAGGAAAGAAATACGTACAACAAGGGCTACTCTGTTTAAAAATTTCCACTGGCCTTGTACATGACCAGGTCTCAGCACACCTCTGTGACCTGCAGAGAGTCTCATGACAGAGCCACACCTAGGGACAGGCCCTCATTTCTCCCTAACCTATCACATTCAAGAGGCAGGACCCCTCCCTCACTTCCCCATGAGCTCTGCACCTTCTTCCCCACACCCTGCCTTTGTGATTCCTTTTCCTCATCCCTTCCACTCCTCCAATCTAGCCCCACAAGGCTGACTGCTCATTCAAACACTTAACTCTCACATAATTTAACACTTCAAAGCGTATTTCGTAATAAATCAATGTCAACAACTTTTTTGCAAGAATAATCATCAGAAGACTAAGCAGCATTCAGAATCTGGACATTTCTTTGAATTTTTGGTTTAGAGTCAAAAGTTCATATGAATTTTCCTACTTACTTCTAAGTATATGTGTTTCGATTTGATATTCAAAATAAAAATTCCTCTCAAACTTCCAAGTAAAAGTGATATTCTCAAATACTTCAAGTATTTTGAAACTGAACAAAGTCAGTACTTAAGACATTAAAAAAAAATTATGATCAGTGCTTCTGGCACAAGAATAAAGAATGCTACATGTTAATGCATGAAACTGTTTAATGAAATAAAGCCTAGGATGTTTCCAAGAATGACTTAATCATTGTCACAAATAATGTTGATTATAAGTTATATAAAGTCTCTTCAGCAGCATGCAGGTGTAGTTCAGTGGTAGAGAGCTTAACTGGTATGTGATGGGGCTCTGGGTTCAATCCCCAATACCACACAAAAGTAAAAATTAAATAAAGTCTCTTCAGCAATGAAGAACATTCTGAACAAATCCAACTCAAGAATGAGGCTGGAAAAATTAGTCTCTCACAAAGATTATCTCAAACTATCACTTTAACAGTCAAAATATTGCATAGGGGTTAGGGTACAGCTCAATGGTAGAGAGTGTGCTTAGCATGTGCAAGGCCCTGGGTTCAACCCAAAATACCACAAATAAAGAAAAAAGAAAGAGAAAACATGCACCAACAAAGGGCCCGTAGACATGTACATATACCAACAAACTCTTCATATACACAAGGCTTTTTTGTTTTGTCGGTTTGCTTTTTGGTTTTACTTGTACGGGAGAATATAGGCAACTCAAGAGTATGGGAGACTGAGATTGTGATAGGAGTTGCCATTAAAAACAACAACAACAACACTCATTCTCTATCCTATTGGGCAGCATAAATCCATCTTTCTCTCCCTGCTTTCTCTGCCACAAAGCCAAAAACAAATGAAAAGAGAGAACGAAATAAAGAATTTATGCAGTGAGAGATTCTGTTTCCTCAAATTCATCAGGCTGATTAGAAATGAAAGCTCAAGCTTTAGAAGTTTTCTCCGTATAAGTAGGCAGTATGTACTTCTGTGATAATTCAATTCTTGCTCTAAAAACCATCTTCAGTAGAACTCAAATGTGAATAGAATTAGAATTACCTGCAGGACTATTAAGCTGCAGGCTGCTGGGCCCCTGACCCAGAGCTGCTGACTCAGTAGGACTGGGGTAGCCCAAGAATTCCCACTTCTCACAAGTTCCCAGGGCTGCTGCTGCTGCTGGTTGGTGGGGCTACACTTAGAGGACTGATTACCTTAGCCCATATTTGTTTTGTGAAGACTAAAAATGAGTTGGGGCAGTATTCATTCTGTATTTCTTTTTCACTTGGAACTGGTCGGATTCCTTTGGAACCCATTCATATGTGGAATTTAAGCACATTGTTTGGTTTTATTTCCACTGCCATTTTTGACCCAAGATCTATTAAAATATAGTAGTCTAATCAGAAATCTATCAAAGGAAGCATTTTTCACTTCTAACCAAAGTCAGTCTGTTCTTTGAATTACAAGGAAATTTAATAACACATGCTTCAAAATTAAACAGTGGCTTTTCACCTAAAAAAAAAAAAAAAGGGAAACAATTCTCACACAAGCTGCACATTTTGAGGAGAAATTTCACACTACCAATAAAACAAAGCATTTTTATATCACTTGTTGATGTATAAACCAAGTAGCAACATGGTAACAGAATCACAAATCTGGGAAAGAAAAAAGGATGGCCAATATAGTAACCTCTAATTTCAAACTATAAAAGCCACAGCTAATCAGAGTAAACTGATGTCTCACAGGGAATAGGTACTTTTGTTATAAATTTGGACTACTTTGCTTCTTATAAGGATCACATTCTAGAATAGGCCCCAATTTAGGAGACACCAGCAAGTGTTTATAAATTGGTAACACATACGTTTCAAAGAAAAGTGCTTCTATTCCAAAGAAACCCCCTGATTTTTGCTCCCAGACCACAGCCCACTCTTCTTCCTTATTTACCTGGTGAGTGCCACAGCCTTGACAGAGTCTGGTGAGCATGGACGGCATGTGCTTGACCACTGATGGCTTTCTATAATACTGTGGATATGCTTTGGCCATGCAATTACTGACGTCTTTTGAGTCTGTTGATGCCACTATCTTGACTCTTTCACATCCCTGAGATGAACAGTAACTGTGGCCATCCCTGTGGCTTTTAGCTTTGAGATACAAAAACAGTAACCTGCACAAAGCAAAGAGCAACCCATTTGGTGTTAGACTTCCTCTCGAAAACTTATAAAATTCCTCAAATCAACTCACGGCCAAAGGGATTTCTCCAATAAGTAACTTTTCATTAGAAGAAAAATTAATTGCAAAAACAATCAAATTGTTTCTCTTTCTTCCCTGTCCTTGTAGGGTATTAAGTCAAATGCAGTACTGCTTTGGAAAATATTTCAATTCTTTGATTCAGTCATTCTGGAAGATATCAAAGTTGATTTCTGGTTTAAATTAGTTAAATAGGTAATCTGAGAGCATGGAATTTGGCCTGGCTCAAAAATTCCTTAGAAAACTGTATACTTTTATTGAGCTTAGGATTCCTAAATTGACGTGGTTTCTTCTTCTTCTTTTAGTCTTTTTGTTCATAAATCATTTTGGTTTAAGGTACAAAATTGAAGTCATAAAACAACAACTCTGCTTGGCTATGGTCAAGATAGTCTCAAATCAATTCCTGTGATGTGTTCCAAGAGCACATGGGCCTGGGGTCCTTCAGTCTGTAACTGAGCAAAACTCAGTGTAAATCAACAATTCCACCCTCTCCAACTTTTCCTCCTACTGCCAAGATGGTCAGAAAAATCTAACTTCCAGGCAGCAGTCCAATATCTACCTGCAAACCCAGTCTTTCTAAACCAAAGCAAGTCAAGATTCTAAAGGACTTTGATAAAATGATTGATAACCAGTAATCAAGAATTTATATTTTGGGCTGGGCTGTAACTCAGTGGTAGAGTGCTTGCCTCGCATGTGTGAGGCACTGGGTTTGATTTTCAGCGCTACATAAAAATAAATAAATAAAGCTATAGCTACAACTAAAAAATATTTAAAAATAAAAAAGGATTCATATTTTAATATGAGGTCACTGAACAATGCAATGTTGCGATTAAGAGGTAAAAAATTGGGCTGGCTGTAGTTCAGTGGCAGAGTGCTTGCCTACATGTGTGAGACATTAGGTTTGATCCTTAGCACCACATAGAAATAAATAAAATAAAGGCATTCTGTCCATCTACAACTACAAAAAAAAAAAAAAGACAGAGAGACAAAGAGAGAGTTAAAAAGGTAGTCACTGCCTTAACATCCAATAATTTTAGAATGTCAGGGACCTGATTGAAATGTAATTTCTGAAATATAATTGAAATTGTAAAAATAAAGGGAATTTAAAACAAAATTGTTGTTCAGAGGCTGAGGGATTCTTGAGATACCCAGACCAGAAAATATTTACCTCTTATTATTCAGGTAAATCATTAATTTGTGGTTACCAGACTATCCTTACAAATCTGGGTACTCCATTTATTTTTGTGAAAAAACAATTGGAAATGTGGAATTTGTCATCTACAGAATAAAAATGCAGGTAGATGGTTTGACTCTAATTAGAAATTGAAAATTAGTGATGATTATTAAGAAAAAACTTAGGCTGATCACACTGGTCACTGCAGGTCCTGGAGAGAAAATGAATTGAAATTTTTTCAAAGGCCAACCAGACGCTCAACAATTGAACCCTAATTTTCTTCCCCCAATCAATCCTGCCACCCTTCTCCCCACTCTGAGCTTTTGCCTTTCCCCAAACATGCCATGCCACATTCTTCCATGCGTCCATGCATTTGTGCACACTGTTCTTTCCGCCTGCAAACCTCACCCATCTCTTTTTCCATCTCCTAATTGTTCCTTGGGAGGTCCAGTGTCACCCCATCAGGATGTCACTGGTTACTCTAAGAGGGTAAGTATCCACAAAGGCACATTAAATATCCCATTATAGAACTTACAGCCTTTAAATCTTTCACTCTCTTAATTACTTGCTTTGCATGCCCACATCTTTCAATGGACTGTGAGTTTGTGAAATAAATGCATTTTATTTACATTAATATCTTTACAGTACCTAGACAATGGTATATGGCTGGAATGTCAGCTTAAGGATGGAGACTGAAAGAGCATGCCACTTGCTGGAATAAGACAGGAGGTCAAGCCTACCATAACCCACAGGCTGAAAGACTGTAACTGGACAAAAGCAGACAAAGCCAACAGGACCCCAGGAGAACAGGATTAGAATTAAACAGTGGAAAGATGCAGCCTAGAGAAAGTTGAAAGCAAATATGCTATGGTTATACAGTGACCTTCAAAAACTCAAGGTCAACTTGAAAGACAACCTTAAGGCAGCAGCAGGAGAAAAATGCACTTCCACTGAAATATGAACTCTATCACATGTAAATAACTACCTTTGGACTTGTTGAAGAAAAAAGGATTTTTCATTTTCAGTTGGGTCTACTGGTTATTCATTGTCAAAGATAACTTCTCTCCCTAAATTGTCTTAATATGTAAATAGTAAACATCTTCACTCAATTCCTACTGCCAGCTATAATAACCAGTCATTCTAGTTCTCCTCTAAACCCTTAATAACGATGTGCAGAGAAGCACCCACATCAGCTGCTTTCCTAAACAGCTATCACATCACAGGCAATTCTTGGCTACGATGAAGAACTAGTAATTTCACCATTAAAGAAAAATAGCATTCATTCTCATGCCCTGGTTCCACTGAATTACCCTGTGCTGGAGTCAAAATAGAATTTCCTCTCAGACTGCTTCCTCTGCAGTTCTTCCAGCGAGTTCACGGGCTCATATTCTTCAACTTTGGATAATGAGCCGCTCTGCCGTTGTAAAAAGCCAAAGTTAACTTGAAAACTTGTGTTTGATGGATAGCAGAGGCCTACTCGAATCCAGTCATCCCTTTAAAGGAGATACAATTTAAAAAAATTATAATTCACACTTGAGTTAAAATCCTTTGGGAATCATGGCATATATAAATTTTAACTATAATTTATTCCTTCTTAAATTTCCACTATATGTTGAGCCACTAACAATGAAAATCCCAAATCCTGACATACTAACCAATCACCTACTTTTATCTGTTGCCCACATTTCTCTTACCAATAAATTTGCAGAATATATTCTACAGAGAAAAAAAAAATCTGGTTTCAACAGGATTTGGGAGACTGTGAATAAACACTGAATAAATATACTCAGATACTCCAAATGGATAATAAAGCCAAGTGAGATGATTGGGTATGAGTGTATTGAGACAGAAAGACTAACAGCCTGGTGGTGGAAGTGTACAATGGTAAAATCATTCTGAAGACTTTTTCTATTCATAATATTATTACAAGAGATAAAAATATATTTAAGAAATTTCTAGTGGCAGGAAGAATTGCTTTTTTAATGCCTTTGATGTGTATCACCAAATTACCTTAGTATTTTTAATGTCCTTAGATATTGAATTATCCTTTTAAAAAGTCATTTAAAATAATTTGCCTTTTTATTCGTCTTTTTATTGTTCACCATTTTAACCACTTCTAGCTGTAGCGATCAGCGGCATTGAGTGTATTCACATGGCTGTGCACCCATCACCACTCTTCATTTCCAGAACTTTTCCATCATTCTAAAGAACTTTCTCAATCTATTATAAGACCTTTAAATTGTCACACAAGTATTACCCAGTAATCCCACTGATGAATAATTAGAAATGCAAATAGAGATGTTCCATGAGGTATTTATACTAGCAAACGAGCAGGGGACAGGAGAAACACTAAATATTGATGCAGGAAGGGGCAGTTAAAGAAAATTTCTGCACACCCATATGTGCAGGAAAATCTGAGTGTGGATAAAGAAGAGAACAATATAAATGTTTACATGCTACCCTTTAACTAGGACTATAGATTTTTTTCAATTTTCTTTTTTTAATGTTTTTTTTTCCTGTACTTTCTTTATTATGTTAAATAAGTGAGTATGGCTTCCTAACTCTTTTGGGGGGTACAAACTGGGGATTGAACTCTCGTGGTGCTTCACTACTGAGCCACATCCCTAGGCCTTTTCTTTTTCTTTTTGAGACAGGATCTCACTAAGTTGATAAGGGCCTCCTTAAATTGCTGAGGCTGGTCTTAAACATTACAAACCTCCTGCCTCAGCCTCTTGGTCACTGGGATTATAGGCAGGCACCACTGTGCCCAGTGGTTTTATAACTCTTAAAGTGTTATTTTCAGAAGTGGAACTATGACAAAGTCTATGACTGCTCTATAATTATATTAAATTTGGAAAAAGAAATTACCCACGTCTTCCTCTTGCCTCTCCTCATCACATAATTTTTATAACTTCTACCTAATTAAACTAGAAAAGCATGACTAACTTTTAGGCCCATGTGGATTTTTGAAACTTTTAGGTTCATCCTTTTTTCACTTGAAAATGTTTTTACTTGCTTAGTATGCAATTAAAACCTTGCACAGTACTTTATAAAGAACTTGTGCATTTTTTCCCCCAGTACTGAGGATTGAACCCAGAAACCTCTGCTTGCTAGGCAAGAGCTCTACCACTGAGCCACATCCCCAGTCCTGCATCATTTGATTCTAACATTTCACCTCAAATGCATAATCCTGCTCCATGTAATTTTTTAGAATACCGATCACTCGCTGACATTTCTTTACAATCCTCCCTATTATTTGTTTCTTTTATGAATTCTCTGGAACACATTGACAGTCTCAGATTGGACTTTAAGAAATCTCACCCTGGAAAAGAGTATTTCCTCCATAAAGAAATAATAAACACTTGAGAAGATAGATATGTAAAACTTGACTTAAATACGCTATGCATACATGTATCAGAACATCATGTGGTAACCCATAAATATGTGCAATGCTTATGCTTTCTTGTATCAGTTTTGAAATAAGCTTAAATTTACAAATAAAAAAAAATCTCTCCTTGAACACAATGTGAACTAAGCATCGGACAAAGGGAGACTTAGTAAGAGGCTGCTGCAGGGTTCCAAGAAAGAGATGATGATAAAAGCCGGGCATACTGGGGCATGTCTGTTTCCCAGAGGCTCAGGAGGCTGAGGCAGAAGGATTGTGAGTTCAAAGCCAGCCTCAGCAAAAAGTGAGGTGCTAAGCAACTCAGTAAGACCCTATCTCTAAATAAAATATAAAATAGGGCTGGGGATGTGGCTCAGTGGTTGAGTGCCCCTGAGTTCAATCCCTAGTACCCACCCCCCGAAAAACAGGCGGGGGGATTGATGATGGCCTGAATTCAGTCATAATCTGTGGGGGTAGAAAGCAGTAGAGATCTGAGTGACATCAGGAACCAGAACCAACAGGGATGAAGAGGGAAAAGGCAGAGTGAGGAATGAGTATGGGAAGTTGTAGAGAAGTGCTAGAGAGAAGCAATGGTTCAGTGTAGAGCACGTGCCATCTGCCTAACTATTTCAGAGCAAGGGCACCCACCATGACGAGCTCCCATTCTTGGAAGTGACCCATTTATAGCTCAACTGTAAGTTCTACTCCTCTCTGTTTACTTTAACTGGGTGTTCAAAGAGAGTCCAGTGAGTCAGAGCTTTATGACCAGTCAGGTGAATGAGCCATGGCAATTTTCTAGGCACATATCTGAGCAGCTTCATAGAACCCCACAGGCTAACAGCTTTACAGATCTAGATGTCTTTGCTCCTGCCCTTCAAAATACAGTGGGCCCTCCTTATCTGCAGAGTAGACATTTACAGGATTCAACCAATGAACCCCAATTCAAAAATATTTTCAAAATAAAAAATTGCAGCTGTGGGGAAAAAACACTCTCTTCTTATTATTGTTCCTTAAACTATATATAATTATTTGCATAGCATTTATATCATATTAGGTTTTAAAAGTAATCCAGAAGTGGTTTAAAATATACAGGACGGTATAACAGGCATTGAGCATCCACAGATTTTAGTACTCATGGGTGGGTGGGTGGTCCTAGAAACCAGTTCCCCAAGGACACAGAAGGACAAATGTAGTCCCCTTTCTCCTATCGGACTGCACTTTGGGCCACTTTTCCTGACTCCCTATGTTCCCATCTCACCAAATCCATCATTCCCCAGGTAGAGTAGGCCCTGTCCCAACTCTGATTTTGTAACAAGACTGACCAAAGTATCATTTTCTGACTGCAGCCTGGCCCCACTCCCTAACGCAGATTTAGTTGCCATATCCTCTACCCACTACAGGCAAAAAAAGAGTTTGGGTTTATCTATTCATTCAGGTTTTTTTTCCTGCACATCTAGTATGAGTTCATTTTTCTTTTTATCAACTGACACACTTGCGTAAATTAATGTAAACATATCAACTTGGATTGAGTTTTGATATCATTGGGACAAACAACTGAGAAGGGACAAAATCATGCTTTAAGTCAGGGCATTTAAACCCCAACTCCCTCCACTCACCCACAGCAGATATTACCAATCAAACCCACTTTCTTCTGTCAAGTCTAAACTTGGCATCAAAAATCTTTTAATTATACCAGTGCCCATTTGGAAAATCATATAAAACTTCTTCCAACTTCAGCTACAGGGACTTAAAGTTCAGCAGCCTACCTTAAAACTTATTGCTAAATAGCTTTATGTACACAATACCTTGGTCTCAGAAAAAAAAAAGAAATGTTTTCAAAATAACAGGACCCAATTTATATAAATAATCTCTTTACTCCATCAACACAAAACATACAGCCTTTCCAAAACAGGATCAAAGTACATGAAACAGGCATTCTTGATAGTGAAGAAAACAATAACATATTTCCTTCCTAAGTCAGTACTTACTCAACTGTTTGAAATGACAGTAATAGAAACATACTTGTTGAAGTTTACGAGGTATAGAAAAGTAGTCCGCGGTGCTGGCCCATTCCAATGGATGGTGTAGCCCTTCTCCAGCATGATCACAGGCTGGTACTGAGGAAAGGCAGCCCTCTGGTTAATCCCCCGGAGTACCATAGGGTGGGATGGATACTCATCTCGTGTGATGGTCATACTAAGATTCTGTGTGTTCCATGTCTGTACATAGACCTTGAAAGAACAAATAAAAACTGAATGAAAGAGGATGAAAATTGAAATAACTATACAAATCTTTCTAGCACAAAGTCAAGGGTCTCTACATTAAAAAGAGAGATTCTGTGATCTGTGCCAGACTACATGAGCAGTGGCCAACTACATCCTAAGCCACACTTAACAATGCAGCCTGCTTAAACTAGATGTAGTCAGAACAGACCCTGCGTTCTTGCTAGCCAAGATCTTCATCATCAATTCCACCACTGCAGGCCAGCTTATTCATCAGAATATAAAACTCCTGTGGTTTATTCAGCCTGTCATGAAATCCCTCAATCTGAAGAACACATGGGCAAAAAAAATTAGTAAACTAATGTGAAAACTGATACCCTCTACTCAAATCTAAGAGATTTTCCTCCAAACCAAGAGATGGAAAATTTATATATCTTGGGGCTTTGGCTTTCAATTTTCCATGACCTACATTAGCCGAAGAAGTCATTTTTCACCCATTCAAAAAAAAAATTATAAAGTACTCTGCAGCAACTGGAAAAACATTAAGCTGAGATAAATTTGAAAATCTTGAATTTATTCCAGTGGCATTCGAGCCGCTCTTCATGCCAAAACAAAACCTTCCACAAATGCATCTTCCAAAGGACAAACCTCAGAACAATTTCCTAAAACAAAGCAGTATCCAGTAACTGAATTCTGCAGAAGTATTAAAACGTTTGGAGAATATTGATGCTTAATGAAGAATACTTCCATATTTTTTCTGCCATTTCTTACAGTCTTGTCTATAATGACTTAATTACATATATGTTCTTTTGCTCATGTCTGACAAATTTAATACTCTTCTGTACTGACACCACTTAAAGACTTAAAAATAGATGGAAAACATACTTTTAATATTTCTGATTGTTTTTATTTAAATACCCATGTAATATATACTTTAATATATATTATTTTCTGAAATCTTTTATTTATATTTGACATATATTTGATTTGGGGGGAGGTGGGCAGGCAGACATGTACATCCCCCCCACTTCCTGCCCAAGGATGACTGGAGGGGGCAAAAGTAACCTTAATTCTCTGTTACCACCTTTCTTCCTGAGTATCTTTATGCATCAGGTATGCAAAGAGCTCATATGCCATTTAAAAATGTTTACATACAGCTATAAAATAACTATTCTATCTTGGGATTCAGATGCTACTGTCTTTTGCCTACAAATGTTTGCTACGTTATTTCTAAGTGAGAACAAATGGATACAGATGAGAACTTCCAGCCCAAATTACAAATTCTCAGGCGAGAACTCCTGACCCGCAGTTTTACCATTCCCAGAGTCTCCTGGGAGGTCCCTGATGACTTATTTTTTTCTGCATCTACAAGTACAAATGGAACTACTCTTCTGCTTTGTTAAGATAGAAAGATTAAGTTCCTACCTCAAATAATGTTAAAAACCCAAAGGGATAAATAATTTATGAGTAAATATTGAAAAATAAATGAAAAATACATATAACATTTATTATTAAAATTAATTCATAAAAAGTATGAGTTATCATAACCATGTACTTTATAAATTCATAATAATTTTCATCAGTGAGCATCTACCACTTTAAGAAAGCTGACAGATAGCCACATGTGAATATACATGGTTGACAAAAAAGTTTAATGAAAACTGTAGCTATTAAAAGACTGAGGGCTTTTTATTTTTGGCTTTTGCTTTAGTTTTAATTCTAGAATGGCCATAGATTCCTAAGTACAGATGGGCAAATAACTTGAAGCAAAGGAAATTCTGATTAAGAATAAAATGAGAGAAAAAAAAAAGAAATCATATTTTCGAACCACATTCTTTTCAGTATTATACTGCAGTTAATTTTCCATTCTCTCCTTGTCCCCCAGAACTTAGTCCTATATTACTTTTGTTCTGCTTTTTTTTTTTTCCTTCATGGTAATGAGAAATGCCATAACACAGAAGCTAATAACACATTAAAATAAATGAGAAGCCCTGTCCAGTCTTTATCACATTCAAGCCCTTTGTCCTTGTTGATAGATCAGAATCCAAAAATTGTTTTTTAAGTTTTTAAATGTAAAAGTCACATATTTTATTTTTTTTAATTGTTGGTCGTTCAAAACATTACATAGTTCTTAATACATCATATTTCACAGTTTGATTCAAGTGGGTTATGAACCCCAATTTTACCCCGTATACAGATTGCTGTATCACATCAGTTACCCTTCCATTGATTTACATATTGCCTTCCCTTTTCTCTCTCTACCCCCTCTACTGTAAATCATTTCTTCCACTTGTATTATCTTGTCTTACCCCTCCTTTCCTCTTATATGTAATTTTGTATAACCCTGAGGATCACCTTCCATTTCCATGCGATTTCCCTTCTCACTCCCTTTCCCTCCCACCTCTCATCCCTGTTTAATGTTAATCTTCTTCTCAAGCTCTTCGTCCCTACCCTGTCCTTGGTTACTCCCCTTATATCAAAGGAGTCATTTGGCATTTGTTTTTTAAAGATTGGCTAGCTTCACTTAGCATAATCTGCTCTAATGCCATCCATTTCCCTCCAAATTCTATGATTTTGTCATTTTTTAATGCAGAGTAATACTCCATTGTGTATAAATGCCACATTTTTTTTTTATCCATTCATCTATTGAAGGGCATCTAGGTTGGTTCCACAATCTTGCTATCGTGAATTGTGCTGCTATGAACATCGATGTAGCAGAAAAGTCACATATTTTAACAGTCATGATCCAAAGTCAGAAGAGTGGTGAACAATTCCACTACAAGACGCTCCAACTACAGAAGCTTGAGTGGTAGAAATACAGTAAGCTCCGGGTGCTCAGAGAAGGGACAGGCAGAGTCCACGAAAGCACGCTTAACAGGCAAAGCAAGCAGAGGCTGGCCGTGGGGGAAGATCACAAAACTGGTCCCTTCCCAGGAAGAGTCCAGATAACGACGGAATAAGAGCATCTTCCAAAAAAATGGAGGGGCAAGAGGGCTTCTTCCCTGCCTTGGGGGCTTTCAGAGCCCAATTCCACTTAAAGGATCTTTGCTCTTCCTTTAATTTCCCTAGGTTCTAATCATCCCCTTTCCTTTATTCTTTTATCTCCTCTGACAGTCTATTATTAAATCCTAACCTCTCATTGTCTAGAATATGGGCGGGGGCAAAGGGGGGGTCTGCTTCCTTCAAAATTCTGGGCTGTTGGTGCCTCCGTTCTATAATCTCTTCCATTCAAATCTCACTGTCAAAATCACCTTTGCAGCTTAGAGCCCTGACTTTCCTGTGCCACTCCACACACTAAATGTTTTCCTTGTATTCACGTGTCTGTCATCAGGGTCACCTCCCAGAGAGGAACTTCCCACTCTAGTCAGATTCCCTAATTAAGTAAAGAAATATGTCCCTGAAAGCAAAGGATAAAACTTCCTCTAAGGGGACAGGGCTGGAAGAGGGCAAGAAACCTAAGAGCCAAAACACAAGCGTTCTCTCCAAAGCAATATTTCAAACCTATTTCAACAAGGGCAAATCATTTTGTCCCACTACAAATCACTTTTTCATTTGCTAAACTGAGGTGGCTTTCAGTAAAACTCACTCCCCCACCCCTGAAAAAAAATCACTCTTGGCAAAGCACCAATCACACCGAGAAGCTGAAGTGACCTCCTCACAGAGGCAGCGCTATGAGAAGCTTGAAGACTCAGCATCCTTCTGGGCCTACCTGGGCATAGGTCCCACTGCAAACCACTGCATTCCACTCAGTCACGTTGACACAGCTTGGATGGCGGATCAGGTAGTTGTCCATTCGTCCCACATAAGTATCCTTGTACCCTGTCACAGAGCCATCAATGTCATGGAATATGGAGTTCTTGTCCCCATCCAGCTCACAATCTTCAAACCAGGGGCCAGGTTTTCCAAAGAAGACATTCAGAGAGACCTGATGGCAGTGAAAACCAAGGACATCACAAAATAAGGGCTCCTGTCATCTCGGCATCAGCCTTCGATGACCCAAGTGCCTGCCCATCACACAACTGCTTTAAAGTGAAAACAGTTTGGAGTTAGGGTTCATTGTTGGTAACTATGGCACCCAGTCAATCAGAGTTTTCTACTTAATTAATAGCCTGCTTGGAGGGAAAATGTCTAAAGCCTTACAAAGGTCAATTGGCAAATATTGAATCTCATCTTTTTATTCCCTTTTTTCCCCCCACTGAAAACTATTAACCTGCTCTGACAAAACTAATTATGGTAAGTGAAACCAACAGAGTTGAGAGAAAACTGATTATGGTAAGGGAAATGAACAGAGTTGAGAGAAAAAGAACTATGAAGTTGTATATATAGAGTTGCCAAAAATCATAAATTCCACACATAAGACCTATGTATTTCCCTGCAAGCAAATTATACCTCAATTAACTAAAGACCTATTAAAGTATTTCTTTAGAGCTAATTAATGTGTTTCACCCCAAAAACTTTAGCTACTTATTCATATGACCCTCCCTACCAAAAAATAAGTATAGTTCAAAACTGATATATCATGTAAGCACTAGCTTAGTATATCTGGGTTACTACTGAACTCACTGAAATCTGCTGAAATGTGTAGACTGCTGTCTCTCTCTCCTCAACCTGACCGTGCCCAGCTCAGTAATTTTTATATCGGATGGTTAATTTAAAGCCTTTACTAAATATGTACAAGTGACCTGCAAAGCAGATTGCAGATGACAGTTTATAGCTGCTTCTTATTTGTGAAAAATTACTGATTTCCTCTAACATTTCTTTATTCTTACATCACCCAAGGATATTTATCATTTAGATAAAGCTACTCATTGGAAAACAGTGAAGTTTGTAGTCAAGTAGGTCCAGGTTCTTAAGTTCTACAGTTTTCTTTTTCCTTTGTGCCTCCAATGGTTAAATCTGAGAAAAGTTCATAGTACATTTTCTACCTATTTATGCAGAACAAATTTTGCAAACTATTTCTTTTAGAAACTATTCCCAGAGTATCACCACCACAGAAAACTCCAAGCAGGATGAACCACTGAACTTAACCGACATGCATGCTCTTATGCTGTTATAATTTAACATTACGACTCTCACAATAAATACAACATTTCAAAAACGGCTTTTTTCAGTGGTCACTGAACTCAAAAATGGCTTTTTAATGTGACCACATCAGTGGTCACTGAACTCTATGCATGGAGGACTATGGGGAAGTCCACATGGGCAGTAAGCAAACAGCCAACCTTCACACAGGAGAGGTGCTCTAAGGTTCACCATAAAGGGATGGGGATGTAGCTCAATAGAAGAGCCTTGACCAGCAAGGCCCTGGAGTCAATTCCTAGCACTGGAAGAGGAAGAAAAAAAAAAATCTTCCTACTTATTTTATATGGGAAAACATCTCTTAGTATGGCCCACCTCTTAACCTGGGGTCACGTCACCCAAAAGAAAATCAACCAATTAAGCTGAGAACCTAATTTTTGCCCCTACCTCAGTTCTATGCCTTAGCTGTTTTAGAAAACTAGATAGAGACTGATAAACCTATCTTGAGCTTTATTTTAAAGTGGTCAACCATAAAGTTTGTGACATGAGTGAGAGAACTGAGAACTTTGAGCTATTCTCCAGTTTTGGCTTATGTCACCACCACCGTGGACCTGGCAAGATGACGAAGTCCTGCGAGTCCATAATCAGACTGTCCTGTGTATTACGGACAACAGGGAAATGGTGAAACTGCTAAGAAATTCACTTCTATGGGCTACTACACTGTAAACAATGGAAGTCTATCTTCTTTGCAATTTTTATAAAATCCACCCAACAGTTCATAACAAAACACAATGTTGATCACACTTCCCAGCATTCTTTTGTGTCCCCAATTTTTTATCTTCCATTTACCCAGAAAAACTGTTCCACATAAGTAAAATACCAGATAGGTCCCAAATCCTCTTAGTAGAGATGGGGCTATAGTACTAGCTTATTACACTCAATTTCCCAAAATCATAAGTCCTCATGTTCCTGTGACATGCCCCCTATGTCATCACTTTAAGTCATTTACCTAATCAAGATTATCACTTGAATGTCAGAGATACCCCAAGTCACCTGGGACTTCTGTTCTTGCCTTGAACTCAATGGGAAAGAGTGAATGGGATTAGGAGTTGCATGTATTCTTCTTCCCCAACATTAAGACTTAGTATAAACCCTTTGTGTTTTTGTCCTTCAGAATCTGTTATCCCTTCTTTTCCCACTAAAGCCATGTGTAGGAACCTTAAGAATGTACTTACATGTGGACCAAACTTCACAAGGGAAATGTTATTTCTGGGGGTTATCTGCCAGGTATTCTTCATGAGGAAGCCAACTGCACTGCTGTACCTATCTGGAGTTGGCACATATTTTTTGAAAGTACTCCTGGTGAGATGAATGGGCCCGTCATAAATCTGAAAGCCTCTAATTGGGAATGTCCTGTTAAAATACAAGATTTTGTTTTATGCAGATAGGCCGGCCTCTTGACCAGCACTTATTTGTGTTATACAAACTGATAAATATCCTGTAAGCGCTAAGCATAATTCCAGGGTACAGTGGTAACCAAAACAAGTCCCTCCTGGAATAAAATATATACTGCAGTGAGAACAATAAACAAAAAAACAAAGTGAAAATTTCAGATACTGAGTGCAATAGAGAGAAAAAGACATAAACACAATAGACTGGGGGAAGATAGGCTACTTTTGGATAGAACAGAGGTCTCACTATAGAGGTGACTTTGGATTCCTTGCATCAACTCAGTTAAGATGATTTATTGAGGGCTGGGGGTGAAGCTCAATTGTGGAGCACTTGCCTAGAGTGCATAAGGCTCTGGGTTAGATCCCCAGCACCAAAAAACCTCCTCTGAAGCCACTAAATGACAGTAAAAGGGTGAAATGATATAAATAAAAGTAAAAAGCTTAAGTCCTCAGGGCTTGCTATGTCAAAGGGCTGGCTAGATTGAGAACTTCTTTGTATTCATATCCTTCCTTTCTCCTTAGCCTACTAATCATAAATCTTTAGTCAGAATTAATATACAAATCCTATAATATTCTCAATTCCTTAAGTTTAATTTCCTGTTGAATTCTTTAATCACACTGCAAAGATTTCTACATAACTAAATACAACTTGGCAATATGCTACAACAAAAGCATACACCCTAGCAAGAAAACCCAGTATTCTGTGTGAAAACCTGTGCATCGTGCTATGTTTCTAAGCACATAACTCAAAATGGTTCTCCCTCATAGAAAATATTATAAAAATCAGTACAACAAAAATAATTCATTCATCAATGTGAAATTTCCTTTGAAAATCTTCCTGGGCAAACAAAAACAAATTTGAAAACAAACTGGAGGACAATGTGCAATTAAAAAAAAAAAATGAAATCAAATCACCCACCATGATACTGCACCCCATTCCCCAACCAATATGGCTCCTTTTTTTTTTCCATCTACACTATTAGGAGAGGCAGGTGCAGCCTAATTGTGTTAGCTATTAAAAAAATTCATTAGGTTCTTTTCCCAGTGGCTTCCATGGGATTTCTACATGTTATAGCATATCCTGATGCTCAAGACAAGCACCACTGGGGTACATCTTAGTGGCAGAGGATTAGTCTGACATGTGCAGGCCCTGGGCTCAATACCCAGTACCACCACAATAAAACAGAGTCTCAGGAAGCCAGGCACAAGGGCAGAGAAGCCAAGCACAGGCCACTCTTTGCCAGAAACTAGTAAAGTTGAGAGTCTGTTTGCCCAATTCTCCTACCTCTGACCCAATATCCAGAGAGCGCACTCCTTTAAGGAACTGATTCTTGATGAATATGGCATAAACTTACATTTGAGGTCTTTAGAACATGCTTTGATTTTTCTCTACCTGGTTTTCTCTCAAATAAAATGAGGACGACTCCAGAACTGAAGACTCATAGAACTGAAGTAGAGATTAATTAGTTAACAGTTTTCTAAAAGCTTTGAAGAATCTTTCTAGTGCTAAGTTCTATTTTAATGGCTCTGATCATGCTGACAGAAAACAAGCCAAAAGTCTGCCCCTCCCCTAGCACCTCAAACACTGTGAATTATACAGTCGTGGTGGGGTTTTGAGTCAATTTTGGCATCAACCATCTCCTATTTTCTAGGACTCGTTTTCAAAAGAGGTAATTTCCTTTTTCCAGTGGCTATTTCTGAAAACCAACATCACAAACCGAGGGAAAACTGACCTAATGTCATAGTTTATGGTTTGGCAACTTTTTATGTCTCAAGAAAGTAAAAAGAAAAATAAAGAAAAAACACCAGCTTACATAAGGTCTTATGTAAGAATTAAGAAACAAGGCAGACTTCCTTGTTATAAAATCAATGATAGAATCTATGAAATGACTAATAGTTAATGCATGAAATTTGATGAGGATAATATACACAATGATAATAACAGGAACAACAGTAAGATAGGATGTTACAGTAGGAACCAATCTATCCAGAATTATTACAGAAAATTTTTCAGTGTTACATTTTCTTTCTATTGCTTGAATTAAAAATCTCTATTACCAAAGCAATGTTTACCTATTCCGAGGTAATGTCCGAGGCTTCTGGTCTATTCCTCCAATGCCAAAGTACTTGTTCTGACCACCCTGAAAACCGTAATTCCTGCTCTCCCCAACAAAGAGGGATTCAGATACCTCCTGGCTGGAACCTTCATCACTTGGGAAGCTTCCATCACTGTTAAAATGAAGACAGTCATCAGCCCTACTCCTTCAAAACATTCAAGTTTACCTCACAAGAATGCAAACTATAACTTAAATAGCTTAAAAAAACAAAGACTTCAAAGCCAATACCTTTTTCTACTACACTTTCAATTCAATGATTATCGAATTACCAGAAACTGACTTTAAACTGTGAAAATACCTCTTATAAATTATTAAGTGCCTTGCAAATTACATAGAAACAAAGGAAATTTAATTTTGTAGCCACAACTGATTGGTCTCAAGCAACAGCACTGCAAATGAGATAATAACATGGCGACAACAATGATTACCATCCAGGGAAAAATATTAACACAAAAAGTTTAGTTCTTAATGCTAAATTAAAGCAGCTTCTAAAGGAAAAATATTGGTTTTTAACCTCCTGTTTCTCTTTCTCTTTCATAGCCTACTTTTTAAAAACTACAGTCTAAATCTCAAATGCTTTCTTCTAAGCAAAAATTATGACTGGTTTGTTCCTCTGCAGAATTCCAGCCAGATTAACCCTACTGCTTTGGTATGAATTCAATTAGTCAATAAAAATGTATTTTTGGCCCTCTAGTGGTATCAGAAAGAGGGTGCTAACTTTTTTTTTTTTTAATGTTCATGAATAATAAAACATTCCTGTGGGTTATCTACTCTATTCTCCACCAGCCTCCCATCCCTGGAAAAAAATCTAGGGTAATTTTACCTGGCTTTATAATAATCAAGTAAGCATTTTTAAGCAATTACAAACCTGGCAAAGGTTAGTCCTATTCCATTATCTGCAAATCTGTAAGAGAACAGATGATGACAGAACACTTTAATTTACCGCATAAGAGATAATTCTCTAATACATAATTGTGAAATCCAGGAAGTCCCCATGTTTACTCTCTCCAATCACACAGAAGCTGAACTGCACACTGAAACACAAACTGTGAAGTGGTGGCACCTGGTTCAAATCCTGGCTTTACCAATTATTAGCTGTGTGACCTTGGGCAAGTTATTTGACCTTTTTCTCCCTTGATTTTCTCATCTATAAGCTGAAATAAATAATATAACCACCCTTAGAGAATTCTCTTTCTTCATGTACTGGGAATTGAACCCAGGGGCACTTAACCACTGAGCTACGTTCCTAGCTCTTTTTATGTTTTGAGACGGGGTCTTGCTAAGTTGTTTAGGGCCTTGCTAAATTGCTGAGGCTGCCTTTAAACTTGACATTTTCTTGCCTCAGCTTCCGGAGCTGCTGGGATCACAGACAGGAGCCATCATGCCAGGCCTCAGAGAATCCTTGAAACATTAAATATACTAAATAACTTCAAGTATTTGGAATAGTGTCTGACACATAGTAAGCAGCATGTGCAAGCTAAAATTATTATTTTTAGAATTATTGTTTGGAAATAATTAGATCACAGTATTCTTTTCAAAAATGCATAATATGTGTTGCCTAAGTCATTTCTACAGATTCAGTGTAATATCAATTTCCTCCCCACCTTGGTGATAAAAGTCAGAAATGATGGTGAAATGCCAAGAAGCTAATGGTCAGTGCCAGAAAAAAAAAAAAAATCAAAATCTTCTTTCCAGATGGTTGAACACCAAACCTTTAGCTCAACCTGCATCACCAAACCTTTAGCTCAACCTCCATCAGGCCTCTCTTCAAACAAGTAGAAAAAAAGAAGTGAGAAACTTCCTGCTTCAAGTCATGGTAAGAAATAAGTCAATAGTCTCAGTAAGGTGGAATTATACAGCTTTGCTTTGAATGGCAATGGAGAAAAAAAAAAACAAAAAAAACTTCAAGAACTTCCAAAAAAGGGGAAAAAAAATGCAGGTAGTTTCAAATATTCAGTGCTCTGACATAAACCACATTAGTACATAAAGTTAAATCCTAAGCTTCTGTTCAATCTCATTGCAAAGCTCTCATGTCACCAGACAAGTTCAGTTCCAATAAAAGCACAAGAATGAGACGATTCCAAATATTTGCAGTCTGTTAACTCTAGCATACTTCCTTAGACCTTGTCTTATTAATAAAAATAATAATAACAATGTGATTCCAGGAATCACCACCATACTTTCATCCTATTGGTTTTTAAAAAAAAAAAACTTAAAAATAAATATATACATGTCATCAGATAATAACTTGGCCGAGAATACCCACGCTGAATTCTGCACGATAATATCCCCTCCTCGCACCCATGCTCCATAATCATTATTTTTAAAAGCAATAAGTCTGTCGATGACAGCAGCAACTCGTGGCTTTTCAGGGTCTGCATCCTGATGAGGTCGAAACCTGAGGGTTTAAAAAGAGGGCAATTTTATAAAAAAATAAATAAACAAAAAGGAATAAAAATTAGCTGTTTATAGTCATAAGCTGAAGTATCAAGAAGCAGGATTTAAATTTGGCCAAAACAAACATCTTAAGACACAATAATTCATATTTCAAATGTCAAAGAAAAAAAGTAACATTCATTCACACACAACTTCCCACAGACCTGCTTTTTAGCTTCTTACCCTTTTTTTTAAGTCAGATTACAGAATGGATACTACAGAACATTATAAACACAAAAATCATTTTCATTAAAAACAAATACACACACACCCACATACACACTTAAACCAGGAAAATTAGCATGTTTTCACAGACTCCTAGGTTTCCTGTTACTGATGTAAACTAATCACATAAAGTAATCGTATATTTCAACATACACATATGTGAATTGAATTATTTGAATTGTGTACTGGTTAAATGATTCAGATGTAGAAATAAAACTGGGTTTAGTAGTCTAAATCTAAAATAGATTGTATTTAATTGATTTACTTATAAAGCCTGAATTTTGCCTTTTCTCTTTCTTCTCTCTAAACCATTTGTGAGAACCTTAATGAAAAAGTCAAAGACTTGGTGTCAAAAACTATCCACTATAATGACTCAAACAAATAATCCCCTAAGTCCACTACTTCACAAAGTTAGGGGAAGAACTTATAAAAAAACAGACAGCTTTTCAAAAATCAGTTCAGCAGGCTGAGATTCTCAATCACTCGGTCAGGAAATAGCCTTGGCATAATGCTACTGCCACACTGACTGGCATACAGTAGGTGCTCACTAACTGCATGATGTAAGAAGCAGCTCTGTAGAAAGAAGAGCAAGTGCACATGCCCCTGGGCACACATGAACTCAGCACTCCACTCCAAGCATCCACTCCAAGCCCTGGAGAGCAAAGCAAGGAAGATGGGCTGGAGGGCAGGCTCCTGCCAGACGACCATGTGGGTCTTCATTCAAGGTGCAATGGGACCAATGGAAGCTTGGAATTGGGAGCAAGGTATCAGGTTTCAGCAGATTACAGGCTGCTATTTAGGAAACGAATGGCCTCCAAGGCCACTCTGGAGGCTGTATTTCAGGCAGATGCTGGAGGTTCAGACTAGGGTGGTAGCAGTGCAGACAGGGCATTCAATCCAATTACGTGACTCAGGGCCTTTACCCTAACTAGCTCTGACTTAAGTGGTAAAAAGTCTGACTCTGAGTCAACACGTACTCATCTGTCATCATACTTGCTGCAAATAGCTGTGCAGATATAACACAACATTAAGCAGATAGACAAGTTCTACAAAGGAAGCTGTCTATACAAGGTAGAAACTATTCAAAAAAAAAAAACTACCATAAAGAAACATCTGATTTTCTGCTCTAGCCATCTTACCTCTTCTGAACTCCCTATCCATATAATTCAGTCATTAACCACTTGCTTCAATATCCTTTATTTTAATCTTCTTTCCCATGTGGTATATAGAAAATATGGCTAACTGTCCTGATTTTTCATCATCATCTATGTGATTCAGCACACTTCCAGCCTTAACTGTCTTCTGCTTTAACTGTACTGGGTGGTTCTAATGTTCTGTCATTTTTTAGATAACATTTCTCAATTTCAAATCAAGTGCTTCCATGAGTTAAAATTTCCCACTTTTGGATTCTTGTAAATTCCCACACATCTTAAAGACAAGGAAAGGCTCATCTGATTAATTGTGAGTCAACTTCCTCTTTGATGAACTCAGTATCTTCTGGATCCCAAGAGCCTGGCATTTAATTTGTAGACTAGTCTACTACTCATTTATGTTTTAGCATTTTTTAGTCATGTCTGGATTATATGAATACAGGTAGACACATTCTATACATTAGTCTATGCAAAGTTAAACATATGGAACACAGCTGCCAAATGTCTCATAACTCATCTTCTATACTAAGTTCATTCAAATGGAGTCCAGTTCCTTACCAATATGTATAGCACTTACATACTGGTAAGAGAAATAATGGATGCAGAAGAAAGATTATCATTTTCATAATACCATAAACAAACCTCTGATAAAAAATTTGTTAAGCCATAATGAGTAGAATTTTATTGTCAAATCTAGTTAAAATATTAATGGATTCTTAAATATGTTTACTCATCTATTCACACTTGTGTTTGTACATATATTAATTATATATATATATGTGTATATATACACACATATATATACACACACAGCAATATTATTTAAATTATATAAATGATTTTTGAAGGCAAGGAAAGGAGCCAACTGTGCTGTATTTAAAGAGTTACCTGGAGGCACTAAGTTAGCAATGTACATATTACTAGTTCTACAAATTATACTAGTCCTACAAATTATAATAAACTCTTAAAAAGCAGGAGAGACCTTCTAACATAGATTTCTTTATTTGCTAATATTATTTTGGTGGTTCATAATTTGTTCTCATCTTTATGCTCCTTTTTACTAATTTTATCTTCCCTATCTATCTATTTCATGTGTTGATTAACTATGAACTATATAGTATCTTGTGTTTTACTTAAATAGTACCCATCATTTCTGGGCTTTCCAATGCTATCTGATCACAGCTCTAAAATATTACATTGCTCAAAATGACCTATGAGGCATCCTGATGAGCAATTTACAAATTACTTTCCCCAGTTTCTCCTGACCTCATGCCCTAGTGATATATTGCAAGGATTCTGCTTCACACTTAGATTCATTAACCAACAGTATGGTTCCTCCTTTATTCCCTTAAGAACAAATGGGCCTGGCATTCCTCTCTTAAATTTCTATTAAAAGAGCCCATTAAACCTAGCACCTGTGCAACTCCATAAACTGTTGAATCAACCTGAAGTATAGAAAAATAATATTTATACCATGTCCGTAAGTTGCCATCTTTCCCAGAAAACTTTATTTCCATCTGAGACCCTTTATTTATTTTGGCTCACATACAGGTTGTAACAGAACTCTGTTGAAATGCTGACCCATATCCCAACCACATTTTGTGGTTATGTAGGAAGCAACACAGAGCTTGGTTAGGATGTGGATCGGAGGCCACAAACAACTGAACCAGAATCAGCTTGATCATCAAATCAGGGATCTTTCCCTTTGAAATTGATTCAATGCAATGTTCCATTTTGACCACTAAACATAAACTCTATATGTTTTGGTTTTTCAGGATTAAAGTGAAACATCTTAGTTTAACTTATTTTTCAATGAGTCATACTTTTCTCCAAATATGAGAACTTTTCAACATCTCTTTCTTCTTTCTCTTCCTGTAACTCCCTCTAACATCAATTTATCACAATGAAAAAGGAGAAAAGCACCAATTTGTTGGCATTTCAGTAAGATAAATGCCCAGACTCAGGACCTGGGACAGCAGAGAAGTGTTTTTCCAAAACCCTCTGTAAACTTTCAAATCGTTATCCCAAATGTGTTGCCAGAGAAAAGAGCACAATGTGCTCCACTCGGAAAGTTCTGCTTTGGCAAGATAAGGCTTGAGTGTGAGTTAAAAGAGCCAGCTCTACCTTGCACTGTTATCCAAACAGAGGTATTCCCTCGGGTCAGCGGCACTGGAGTTGGTTGTTTTGACACCCTTGTCAATAAATAAGCCAGCCTGAAATACATAATAATGGACTAAAATAAATATGCATCCCAAGTTACACCTACATGTATTACGAGTCATGTAAATAAGTTCTAGTTTATCACTTCTACCCAGAATGCATGTGGGGGGAATGGGATAAACAGCAGAGCAAAGGCATGAAAAACAATGACATTCCTGGATATTTTTATGATTTTACTCATTCAATCATTCAACAAATATTTACTTAGTGCCTACTCTGCAGGAGGCACCAAGTGTTATACATTAGCTAACAAGTAAAATATGATGTGCAGTTACTGAAGCAGAAACTATCAGGATGACCTGAAATTAAGTAAATAAATTACAACCCAACACAAAAAGCTTACGGCAAAAAAAAAAAAACAGATGAAGGCTGAGAAAGGCAGCAGAGAACGGCTCCTAAATGTGGCCTTTTTCGTGGGTGGGACAGCACTGAGGGAATGTTTCCTCCTTAACAGAAGTGACCGAATAAAGCTGAAACCTTCAGGATGGGAAAGAACAACCATGCATGTCAGGGGAAGGCGGGGAGCAGCTGAAGATCCCAGAGGTAAAAACTCAGGGCACAGTTTGTACAAAAGTCTCAAGATGAGAGAAAGCATGGAACAGTTGGGGGGGGGGGGAATTCTGGATGGACTGATAAGAATACACCACATCAGGGGCTGGGGTTTGGCTCAGTGGCAGAGTACTTGCCTTGCACATATGAGGCACTGGGTTCGATCCTCAGCCCCACATAAAAGTAAATAAATAAAATAAAGGTATTGTGTCCATCCACAACTAAAGAAGTATTTTAGAGTATATATACACCAGACCATACAAAGGTGATATGCTGCAGGAATCAAGAATTCAAAACTATCACAACCAAGGATAGCTTAAGAAACAAAACAAGCAATGTAGCTACAAGATGAAACCACAGTTAAAAAGGAGGAAAAGAGACAAGAAATAAAGTAGAAGATGACTTCAGTCCTCCAGAAGAGAAATATATATATAATATGTATATAGACTAAATCCTTTACTTCCATGTAACTCATATCAAAGTTCAATAAACTTTTTGGTACTGGGGATTAAACCCAGAGGTGTTAGCACACATCCCCAGCCCTTTTTATATATATATAATGAAAATATTTAAATACTTTTCAAACACAAAAAGAAACAAATGCATTGATCTCCAGGGCACTGGGGAAGCGGGCAGTGCCAAATACCATGGAAACTGAAGCTTCTGAATCACCTGTAGGTTACTTGATCTGCAGCATTGTAAAGTAGGTCAAATATTCTTAAACAATATTTCACTATTTATATAATCAGTATTAAATGCCCAAAAGAATGTTTGACCAGACCTGTGATGGACAGAAGGAAGTATGCAAACTTCCTAATCCCCATAAGTACTTTATCCAACGTGCACATTCCAACACATAGATGTTGAAGATTAGAAAGAAGGTGAAAGAGAAGGAGGGAAAGGAGAAGACGATGAAGACACGGGGATCAAGTCCATGGCATAAGTAAACAAACTGTGTGTGTGTGTGTGTGTGTGTGTGTTGTGCACACCTGTGTATGTACAAACAGAGTGCTGAGAGTGGAAAGGTTAAATGACTTTTTGATCACAAATTACTTTCTCCAATGACAAGTTTTAATAAAAATGACACTTTCTTTGTAATCTCTCTGATTTGAAGATGTCTCCCAAGACACAGGTGTTGGAAACTTAAATCTCATTGCAACGGTGCTTGGGAGGTGGGGCCCAGGGGTATGGGGTAGGTCAGGAGGCTCAAGAATTGACTCATACTCATAAAAGAGCTTGAGGATGTGAATTCAAACTCTTGCTCCTCTTCACCCTCTTGGCCTTTGTACCACAGATAATGAAGCAAGAAGGCACTCATCAGGTACGGGACCCCTCCATCTTGGATTTCCCAGCCACCAGAGCCATGAGCCAAATAAATATGTGTTCATTATAAATCACCCAATTGGTGCTATATTGTTACATTCTGTTACAGCAGCACAAGAAGGACTAAAACATAATCATAAGAGTCCATCCTTTTACCCTGTGAATCATATGTACTGATAGTTAAAATTTAAGAACCTACCTTAAAACTTGAATGGACCCTGTTGTTATAAAATATACCCAGTGGAGTGAGTTCTGGTTTCTCTAAGAACTGCAATCCAGTGGACTCCCCCGTAGGTTCCTTGTGGAATAAATACCATATTCCAGCATCCTATAAATGAAAGAGTAAGATCATTAAAGCCTTATTTTATAAAGACACTCTATGAATCACCCTCATACCTTAACTGCTTTGCCAGCAACATTAAATCTTTGTAACACAAATTTTTCATTGTTTTTGGTCCAGAATTGACTACAAAAAGCTGTGCACACATCTAGCAGCCTCAAAGCATTATATGAGGCATATTTTTAAATCAAATTTAAAGAAATAATTGACTGATGCTAAAATTTCCTTTCAAAACAACTTTCTCTTATTATCTACTTTACAACATTATGCAGACTTAGAATCAAATAAGCCTTCCATGTGACCAGAACAGCACAGCCTTTAAGCAATGTGGTTTTGTTCTGTTTACCTCCAAACCTGATCAATAGATGAGTCATGCCTATTAAACAACTGTCCACTAGCATGTAGAGCTCACTGACTTCTTTCAAATAACTCCAATGCCCTTCCTGTCCTGAGGCAAATTCGTGCCAAAGGAAAAATAAAAACCACCACATGCATGAATCGGGATGCTGTCTCCGTCTGGAGCCTGTCTGTTCAATTTCGATATTGCTGCCCATAACAGGAGAACAGTTTAAAAATTTTTGACAAAATGAGACACGAAAATGGAAAATAACGTTCTTAATGCCTGTAAAAATTTTTTATATTATGATTGAAAATTGGCCCAATGTGAAGGACAAAACTTCACATTTTGGAACGTTGATTAAACAGGTTGTTCAAACATAAACATACAGTATACAAGGATTAATATTAATTCAAATTCAGTACACATTTGTTTAATGTACACTACATGCCAGGTGTACAAAAAGAGACTACTCTCAAATAATTCAGTCTTATGAGAAATACAGAAATAACTAAATTATATGTAGTAAGTACTATATTAGTGGCCAAATCCTCTAGGAACATAAAGGAGAGATGAATTATAGAAATCATATGTACAAAATGAATGTAATATTTAACATTTTTCCATGATAAACTTTTACAAATGGGTTTTAATAAAATAAACTACTCTGAAAAAAATGTTTGCCTCTTCAACTCTTTTGGAAACAAAACAGACAACTCAACAGCAGACTTGAAGTGCTGGCGAGAAGTCCAGTAACATACCCCTATGAGCTGAGGACCAAGTGGGCCCTCCCAGAATGCAATGGGGTTGAAGGGTAGCATCTGTTTGCTGTTAAACTCTGTGGTGTCAAAACAGGTACAGGAAGCATTGTAAAAGGCAATGGAAAGATACAATGAAGAAACAGTTTGGTTTACTTTGGGTGGAAAACTCTGCCAAACACTAGCTTTACTGGAGAAGACTTTTTTTTAGAAAGAAATCCACAAAATGAAACAGAACATACACAGGATGCTTTCATTATTCTTATCAGGGCCCTGGAAGGGCATCTGGTAATCTCACTTCACATGTTCATGGAGGAATTGAAAATTGCTTTATTCTTCAACCCTTGACTTCTGGAAAGAGCTAAAAGAAGCTCTGCTCTGGCTGCTGCCGTGCAAGGCAGCATAGATCAGAAGATGGTGCCCGGCAAGGCTGCAACCTACTCTCAGCCATCCCTTTCCAATTAGACACCCTCGGCACAAACTTCACACAAGCTCAACAAATATTTGATGGAAAATGAATGAATAAAAGCCTGAAATGATCAAATGCCCATGTCTTTGCCCTGTCAAATAAAAATCTTCAAATGACAGGGACTCCAGTCTACATTTTATGTTTTAAAGAAAAAGCACAGATATGAGTTCAACTGTCACCCAGTGATACTCATATTCTTATCTAAAAGAAATACCTCCTTCAACTAATCTTTTACTTAATCCTTAGAAATGACGTGGGTATTCCTTTCCTTTTTAAGTTTTTAAATAGTCATGATGTAGCAACACAAATATTTAGGTATTACTGCAATGCTGATATTTCTCTACTGTAATTTTCAGCACAGTTACAGTCTTAACAGTATTCGTTCATAGTTTACATTAGTAGTTTTAAATCACACTCACTTGTGTAAATTTGTGTAAGTGTAAATTTCTCCAGGTTTATCAAAGGAACATTTCTACTATTTAAAAAATATTCTATTTATTTACTTTCTTAAACCTTATTTGTGTATTTGTGTGTGTGTGTGTGTGTGTCTTAAACAACTCAGTCGAATCATGGCACATCACTGAGTTATTAGCTACATTATCAAGGACATAAAATACCTAAAAGCTCACAATCCCTGCATTTAATAAAAAGAAGTGCTACTCAGAGTGACTACTGGGACAGTATTCAAGACTAATCCACTCCCATAACAAAAAGCTGAGGCTTTCTTTGCTCATCAACACTAGAAATTGAAATGATCAGTTTCTAGACAACGTAGGACTTAAACATGAGAATCCAGAAAGACCATACATAACACACTACGAATGCACTCTGGAGATGATCCAACCCTGGAGATCAGCTCACCTCTTTCCCCCTTAATAAACCATGGAAATGAACTGTCATAAATGATTTAGAAAACCCACCTCAGATGTCTCCTGCTCTCAACCCAGACAAGCAGTATCAGAAACAAGGTCATGCTTGGGTTCCACAGGCACGCAAGACATCACACCCTTATAAACCAGAGCATTTATAAACATGAATGATACAAAAAATAATCTGAAAACACTTCAGTATTATTTACCTGGGAACCTGCAGCTGCATTATCAATTAGATGATTGTTGGGATGAGCGATCCAGAAAGTTGAAACAGCCCTGCAAGACATTTTTTAAGGCGATTTAAATATTCTTCATGAAAAAGCATGCCCATTAACAACTTCCTCTAAAAAGCCTTCCCCAAAAGTCACAGGCCTTGCCCATCAAACAGGAGTTTTCCTCTCTGTCAATTACTCACATACAGTCAGTGGCGGGGACAGGGACGTAATTTCCAAATACTTTATCTCGCATGTTGATGCACATGGAGTTGTTCCTATCGGTGGGGAGGAGAGTGCCTGGCTTGGTGAGTAGTCCCAGATTGTGAAACAAAGTATTTCTCTGCTCAATACCATCTTCCAAAAAGAAACAATGACCTAGTGTGTCGAATCCAATGGTGTCCTTTATCTGCAGAAATACAAGTATATAATGTCATTAGTAACAAGATGGACTGGGATTTAAGTGACAAGTGTGGCTCAGCACAGCACACAGTACAAATGCAAAAAAGAAGCTTTTGATCTTAGCAGAAGGGGCAAAGTCAAACTTCAAGTTTTATTTCTCACCGAAGAAGATAATTTGGGTGATAAAAAATGTAGGCTTCCTTCAAACAGAAAAACAGCAGAATTCTCAGTAACAGCAGTTTAGAGTAAGGTATGAAGAGAAATAGTTTACTTAAGCAAAACTGAGATGTCGTGGGCATTAAGGAGAGTCAACCTTTCAATGACAGATAATATCAACGTAATGGAAGCTACTCACCAGTAAGCCATTGGTCCCATGCACAGTGATGCATCTGGAGAAGCTGTGATGAATAGACAGTCCATCCACAAATGTTGTGTGTCTGTACCCGCCTTTATAATCCACGTCCCCACACAGATGAAAATGAATAGGGTACCGCCCCAGCTGCTGCTGACCCATGTGCTTCAACTCCACATAAGAGAGATGGACTGCAGTAAAATTTTTCCTTATCTACAAAACAAGGTAACCAAAAGCAAACTGACACTTCAGAGAAGAGGAAAGAAGCAAAAACTATTGTTTAAATACCAAACATCTGAAGGATACTACATGTTCAAACATTTCTTTTGCACCCTGTTTTCCCAGATCCCTAATTAATAATTTAGGAGATGCTTCATTATATAAGTGAATGCTTTAAAATGCCATAAAAATAGCTTTCAATTAGGAATAAAGGCAACTGTAACCAGGAAAGCTGCCAGCAATGATTTCTGTATGTTTTGACTTGTTCAAATGCAAGTGCTCCCTGACAACTTTGGATGGGGTTATGTCCAGATAAAACCATTTATTAAACTGAAAATACTGTAAGTCAAAAATTCATTTAGGGGGCTGCAGTTGTAACTCAGTAGTAGAATGCAGGCCTAGACATGTGAGGCACTGGGTTCGATAAAGATATAAAAGATGAAAAAAAAAATTCATTTAGTACCCAACCTACAAAACATCCTAGCTTAGCAACAAAGCTAAGTGTGGATTGTTTCCCCTCATGGTCTTGTGGCTGACTGGGAACTGCAGCTCACTGCCACTGCCCAGAATCTCTAGAGTACAGAACTGCACAGCTCTCTCTTCAGAAAAGATCAAAATTCAAAATCTTAAGTAAGGTGTCTACCAAATGCATAACACTCTTGCACCATTGTAAAAATTGAAAAATCGTTGAGTCAGGGACTATCTAGACTTCGGTCATTCCTAATCTCATTCTTTTATTTCTATAACCTCCGCCAGAGTGTAATAGTTATATATTTCTAAGTTCTCCCCAATATTTTAGTTACCACAGAATACTGTTTGCTTAGGTTCTTTTAAAAAAATTCTTCTGTGATCTGAAGTTGGAGGAATATTTTTAAGCATTAGATTTTCAATGATATAACTAAGAATATAGGAATAATGCTGATCAACATTTCCAAAGTCAGTGAAACAGGAATGCTGCTAACACCTACAGCCTAGTCAGTGAAGAAAATGATTTGGAACACATGTTGCCAGAAATCCAATAGAATACAGAATACTGCCTCTTGTGTACTAAGTACTCAACATTCTTACAGAATAAAAATCCGCATTAAAAATATATACAGAAATAAGCAAATATACTACTACTTCTCACTCTTTAGTAATATCATATTTTTTTAAAAACCAATTGATTCAGAAATTGTATGCACTAACAACAAGATTACTCATTCTTTTGTCTCTGTATATTTGGGTTTTTCAAAATATATTGATTTAATAAATTCTTGAAGGAATGTTCTTAAATGATTGAGCTATAGGCCCAGGTCAGCTAAATAAAGAAGCAATTATTTTGTTTTGTTTTTTAAAATATCCTCATTTATTTAAAAGATAAATAAAATATGGTTTCTTTTTATTATCCATATATCTCAACCACTTGAAGGTTTCTTCAAATATGTACTCAGCAACTAGGATTTTCAAAGAAATTGTCAAATCCTTTTGCTCACCATGATGTGTCCCCCAAAGGTATCATAATCAAAGAATTGGCACTGGTTTTCTGCATAGCATGAGTCCTCCAATTCTCCATGGATCACAATATTCCGGGTGAGAATTCCAACCTCAGCTCTCATGTCTACACCATCTAGGATCTCTCCCATGTGTAGGAACTGAGGGGTTTCTGGTCATTGTGAGCAAAGGAAAAAGAATATTCAAACAAAGAAAATATGGAACTTAGTTCAAAACTACATTCCTCTCCATTCCATAACCCCAAAACACGATCAATAGCTTGTCATCTTTCATTCTCCAAACTTCCAAATCACAGCATCCCAGGAAGAGCAATTTCAAAGATTATCTGGTCCAACTACCCACCCAAAGCCTAAATCCTCATTACCAGTTGTCCTCCCAACTCTCAAACACAGGCAGGAACAGAGAGCTTGCTGAAGTAGCCCAATTCTCCTGTAAACAGCGTTAAGGACCTGGAATCTGCCTAATAATCTAGTCTTTCCCTCTAGCTCCTGTCCTTGTTCTAGCCTAGGACATATCAAGAACCAAATGCAGTGAATCAATTTAAAAAAAGAAGAAGAAGAAGATGATGATGATGAAGTAGTTAAAATCAGGGTGTCAAGTTGTTTATGCTCCTACTTCAAAAGTAATCTGCAGTTGGACATTAGCCATACAAAAATTACCATCTTTTCTTTCCCACTCTTGTTTTAGTATTAGTACACATTCTTTTAAATGGCTACCTTTACTGGAAGTTCAGAAGTAGTTTCATAGTCAGTTTTTTTCTCTGATGCTCTTAGATAAACTCAGGAAGGAAAAATACAAATAAATCATCAAGTTGGGCTTACAGAGATCAAAATCATCTAGATTTGTCATCAGGAATGGGAATTTCCAAAAAATTTTTAATGCCAGATGGTATCATTCTGGGGGATTTTTTTTAATTGCTTTTATTTGGGTTTTTTTTTTTATTATTTGTTTGCTTTGCCTCTGCCCTGTATTATCAAGAGAAGGAAAAGTATAACACTGAATGAAGCGCAGAGAAAAAAAGCTGAGTAAGCCAATCATCCTATTTTAGTAGAAAATGTTCCTTTAAATCTCAAATCTCTGAATGATCTATTACACTAAATTACTGGAAAAAGCTCTGAATGATCTATTACACTTATCGAAGTTACTGTAAACTCTTTTGTTTTATACCATCATTATACTACCTTGAGTACAAAAAAAAGAAAAACAATAAGTAGAATGTGCAATGAATCTCATATATGAACCTACAGGGGGCTTTGCAGAATATCAGGCTCACAGGAAGTACCTGATGTCAGCCATTCTTTCTATACTCAGCTTACAATGAGAAACCCTTTGTGTATTGCTCTCCTTCAAAAAACTGTATTATTTGAAATTATGACAGGAAAGATGGTTATAAAAATACCTACTAGATTCCATTTTAAAAATTAGTGAGATTTATTTTTGTCAAGCAAAAATCAAAAATCACAATTTTTTTGTTAAGAAACATTTCTATTAAAAATGGATTTGGTTAATAGTTGGGTTTGTTACTATGCAATAATGGGAAATTAATAAAAAAGAAACTAAAAAGGACTTGGAAAATCCAATCATCTGATTCACATCTTTTTTGGTACTAGGGATTAAACCCATGGGTTCTTTACCACTGAGCTGCATCCCCAGTTTTTTTTAATTTATTTTTTATTTTTATTTCTTTGAGACACAGACTTGCTAAATTGCTGAGGCTGACCTCAAACTTCTGCCTCCAGCCTCAGACTCCCAAGTAGTTGGGATTATAGGTAGGTGCCCAGGTAGTCCACATCTTTTTTATTTTTTCCCAAGAAACCTAGGCACAGAAACACTAATTTGACTGCTATACATCATTAATAGCAAGAATGTTGTGTATTAAGTATTTCTAATTCCCTCTGGAAGCTATTGTTCAATGTCATACACTGTTAAGATCTTTTATTATTTTATTTTATTTTTTAAGGTGGAGGGTATCAGAGATTGAACTCAGTGGCACTCAATCATGCAACCACATCCCCAACCCTATTTTGTATTTTATTTAGAGACAGGGTCTCAATGAGTTGCTTAGCACCTCGATTTTGCTGAAGCTGGCTTTGAACTTGCAATCCTCCTGCCTTGGCCTCCTGAGCTGCTGGATTCAGGCATGCACCATGGCACCTGGCCAAGATCTTTAATATTGATGATGATGATGATGATGATCATGGTAAGGAATGGGTAGGTAGAAAAATGATTCCAAGAATCAACTCCCTAAGAAAGAGTGTTTCCCATGAAATACTCTTAATAGTCTGATACCTTTAACTTTGACCTGAAAACGGTTACACTCGGGACAGGGGAGAAGAGTGAACTCCTCGGCTTGGTACATGGAATAGTCTGTGCTTGCAACCACAATCTGGTCTCCAGGCTTCCAGCTACTAACATCATCCAGCAGGTGAAGCTTCACTCCATCCACAGGCTCCACCCGGAATCCTGAAAGAGAAACACCTAAACAAAAAAACAAAAACAAAAAAGTGATGTATTAACAGGATTGTATTTTTCTAAAATCAACCTTCTCCCTGATTCACAAATCAAAAGTTAAGATAAAAGGAATTTAGAAAATATTTACCAGTGCTTTGCACATGCCAGTCACTCTGCATGTATGAATGTTAAAAATATGGAAATATATGTCCTAGCCCTCTAGGAAACAGATCTTGATGCACCTACCAGCCATGATACAAAAACATCACATTCGTAAACTATGCTTTAAAATGTTGACGACTCTCAATACCCAAATCCCTGGCTGTATTTCAACTCAGTGTTACAATTGTAACACTGCCCCAAACAATCTTTTTGTTTAGGCATTATTATTTTTTCTTTTTACTTTTATTTACTTATTTTTATGTGGTACTGATAATTGAACCCAGTGCCTCACACGTGCTAGGCAAGTGCTCTACCACAGCCCCAGCCTCAGCCCCACCAAAACAAACTTAATATGTAATAAACACTTCCTCCATTACCTGGACTGACCCCCAACTCTTGCTGTTCACCATTTTGGGGGAGGGTGGGTACTAGGGATTGAACCCAGGGGTGCTCTACCACTGAGCTACATCCCCCAGGTCTTTTTTTTTTTTAAGTTCATATTTTTATTTTTTTTTTTTTAAAGTACAAATAGATGACAAAGTCAGAAGTGGAAACAGTTTTTTTTAATATACATGACATAAGTAAAGTTAGAAGAGAAACAATGGGGAAAAGGTTTGTAGTATCTAATGAGACATAAGATTACTTCTAAAAATTATTTTTTTTTTTATTGGTCCCCAGGTCTTTTTATATTTCATTTTGAGACAGGGTCTCACTAAATTGCTAAGGCTGGCCTCGGACTTGCAATTATCCTGCCTCAGTTTCTGCAATCATTGGGATTAAAGGTATACACCAATGAGCCTTTCACTGTTCCACCTTTTTATAAACTTTAGGTGCATCAGTGAAAGCTGCTGCATGCTTCCGTTGATGTACGCACTACTCTATGTTCTTCAGAGCACAGCTCCACAGATGTCTGCTGAGTGAACAAGTATGACTAGCTTGATCTATAATGTGAACCAAGGGCACATGACAGTGCTGCATTCCTGGGATGATGTAAATTATATAACCTAGTAACTACTAATGATTGATCTTTCCTAATATCTCCTTTGAAATTCAAAGCTGGTTCCCAATTAGGCAGAGGAGAACTGAAAAGATTATCAACTTCTCCATCGCTTATACTTCTTCGAAATGCAACCCAGGGTTGCATTTTCTGCTTCTACAACATCCATGATGGAATCTGTCATGAGCCAAAAGCTGATCTCATGGAAATGTGTCTGGAATAGAAGGCAGTTACTTCATAACATCAATGCAGAAAGAGAAACAGCCCATTTCAAGACATCTGTAATAAACATCTGTACTTCTCTCTCATTCTAACAACATACCACTCTGAGGCTACTTTAGGATGCTGACTCTAAAGGGCAATGACGAGAGCCAAAGAACACATTTACTTAAGCCAGGGAAATCAAAAGGAAGGAAATTCAAGCAAGGAACAAGGAATAATATACAGTCTTACAGCCTTGAGCCAACTATCCAGATAAAACCTAACCTGGGAAAATTTTGGATTCTGTCCTTTTACACTTTGACTGTCTTGTTTCTGTGTGTCATAAAAATACCTCATAAACTTCAGATGCTTTTTGATATAATTCTTTCATCCATATACTGAAGCCTATAATAGCATTTTATCCAAAAAAGTAATATAAATAATAATAACTCTAGTAATTATAATAATAACTTTTAAAAATTTCACATGTATAATCACTTTTCATCCAAACTGTGAGAGACAGAAATTATATTCACTAGAGACAAAAAAAAAAAAAAAACAAGATCTAGGAGCTTGGATAATGGCTAAAAATTATAGCTTAAAAAAATCCAGAACTGAAAACTAACCTATTTCCAGAATTTAATTTCTTTATTTTTTATTTTGAAACAGGATCTCACTAAATTGCTGAAGCTGGACTCAAATTTGTGATCCTCAGGCTGCCGAGTTACTGGGATTTCAGGCATGTGCCGCCTCAGGCATAATCCAATTTTTTTTTTCAGAGAGAGAGAGAGATTTTTTAATATTTATTTTTTAGTTTGCAGCGGACACAACATCTTTATTTTATTTTTTATGTGGTGCTGAGGATCGAACCCAGCACCACGCGCATGCTAGGGGATCATGCTACCGCTTGAGCCACATCTCCAGCCCCATAATCTAATTTTTTTTTACCTGTATATTACTGTCTCTTTCCAAGAATAAAAACGGGAAAATTGAGAACAAAAATAATTAAAAGCTCCACAGCAGCAACAACAATCATTTCCCAAATTTTCAGTTTTAATAAAAGAAAACACTCCCCCTATAAAAAGGGCAGCTAGGACAGTCATGATGACAAATGCCTATAATCCCAGCAAATCTGAAGGTTGAGGCAAGAGGATTGCAAGTTCAAAGCCATCCTCGGCAACAAAGCAAGAGCCTGCATCAAAACTTAAAAAAAAAAAAAAAAAAGACATAGCTAAGTGGTAAAGTGCACCTGGGTTCAATCCCCAGAAAAAGAAGGGCGGGGCAGCCAAGGAACATTCACTGTTTCACATGAAAATACTTTTTAAAAAGTAAGCTATAAGACAAATAAGTCTGAATTGGAAAGAAGATGAGAATGAATTTATTTTAAAAGAAAATGAGAAGGTTAGATGGGAAGGATGGTACCATTCAACAATTCCTCACTTTTTTCTAGCTTTAGAAAAAAATTCTGCAGGTTATCTCCTATTAGCACATTGAATTGGAAGTTAAAAAGGAAATAAGTTCAGTCCCCTGCTTCCTGGAGAGAATTTTCCACCTCTTCCAGAAACTAAGAGTCACTGAGAATACTGGATACAAACAATAGTCTATGATACAGAAAGAATGTTCCTTCCTCCAGAAATGTCATTACTAATGTGGAAATGAAGACATTTTCTACAAAGGAAAAGCTGACTCAAAGTCCGTCAATAATCTCCCCTGCCTGGAACCTTCTGGAGACAGGATCACGAAATTCCATTGGCAGGACCAAACACTGCTAAGAAAAGCTTTTCACCCACCTATTTCGATAGAGACAACCATGGTGCGGTAGAAAGAGGAATAGTCTTGGAAGCAGAAAGCTGGGGCTTGATTCCAGCTTCCTTAGATATTAAAAAATACCATTTTCCTCACCCCAAACCCAGAAAGTTGCTTGGAGGCAACATGTGAAAGTTCCTGTTATTTGTCAGGGATTCCATTTAATTGTTGTTTTAAAGCAAAAGAATGTCTTTAATCATAGTGATAAAAAAACATCCTTATAACCCCAATCATGTTTGCATCATTGTTAACATAACTGAGTGCAACATTCACTGTGCTAAAAATAAAAACTTCACATTCTTCACCTCTGCAACCCTATGTGGTAGCCTCCATTGAAACTGAGGTTTGGGAAGTTAAAGTTACATGCCCAAGATCACATATTAAGTGAGAGAGCAAGGCTGGGAGCTGAGGCATTCTGTCAAGAGAAATCCATGTTAGTAAACACTTTGTTACGTTACGTTGCTGCTCAAAACTGAGGTATGGCCTAGGTTAAATCAAAGTTTTCTGGTTAATCACACATGTGATAAGCGCCTCTTAGTTTTGCTCATTTCACATTAATTCTGTTTAGATTTGGTTAGAAAAGAAAGGCATTATGTTCAGTTAGAAAAGAAAGATAATAGACAAGCATAGACAAGAAGAAGCTAAAATAATTTGGCAGCAAAATGGGTTAAATTTTTAAATTCTACAGTAAACATCCTTAAAAGAAAAAAAAATCAGATGCTCCCTAAATACCTTGTGCTAGGCAATATTTGAATAAACTATAATCCTGAAAGATAAACTATGAAAAAATTATGTTGAAGAAAATTCAAATAAATGAAATAACTTTTAGGAAGCAAGTTAAAGCAAAATGCAGGAAGGAAGACATAGAAGAAAAAAGATCCTAGACTATCATGTACTGAAATAATTATCTCCAAATAATAGGGCTGAAGATTCATTTTTATCTTATACTTCTCTGTGTTTTCGATTCTTATGATAAAGTGTATTTGCAAGATCATCAGCGGGGAAAAACTGCCTAGTAAGTGAGAAGTCTGTTTGCACAGCAAGTGTTCAAAGGTAATATTGGGTGGTATATTTACATAAAGGGAAGATTCAAAGTACAAATCAAGCTCACTATCATTGCACATAACCAAAGAAAGCTCACCCTATCACATTCAGATTGGTTCAGTTAGTGCCAACAGGAAACAAATTAAGTTTTACTACTTAATCACACTCTATGACTCAAAAAAAAAAATCAAGAACAAAGTCCAATTGGGATGTTCAAACTAGAACAGATCATTTTTCGAATCCAGGAAGAGCTCTTGAATCTAAAATATTTTAATAGGGAAACAAATCTCAGCTTCAACTGGTAAAGAATCCAACCAGTCATGTGAATACTATTTTTTTTTAAAAATCTAGTCCAATACTTACCAATGTCTTACAAGAGTATAAAACACCCTTGCCTACCTTCAATCCATTCACTATAGGCTGTCACAGAGAACTTCTGACCATCCACTGTATAAAATTCTCTTTGGGCCAGAGCCTTCCCGCCACTACTATGGTTTTCATAGTTTCTCACAGATTCATTGCAAGAAGTACTTCCACCATCAATGACACCAACTAAAGCCCAAGCTTGCCTAGAAGGAAAAAGAGTGTGTCCATCTGATTATCTGTCACAGTAATGACCTAAATCTCTAACACACATGTGATGGTTGCTTTTTAATTTTTAGATTTCTTTTTTTTAATCTATTTATTTTTTTGCATTACAATTCTTAATACATCTTTATACCACAATTTATCATATCTCTGATTATATATAAGGTATGTTGACACCAAATTCACATCTTCATACATGTATTCTGTATAATGATGAGGGTCTCCTTTCACCATCCATGCTATTCCCCTTCTCCCTCTTTTTCCTTCCCACATCTATTCCCTATCTAGAGGTAATCTTCCTCCCATGCTCTCCCTCCCAATTCCATTTTGAGTCACCTCCCTTATATCAGAGAATACATTCAGCATTTGTTTTTTTTGGGATTGGCTAACTTCACTTAGCAGATAGATTTCATTTTTACAGATTGCTTTTCCCATGAGGTTGTAATTCAAAACTTTGAAGTAACCACATGTTAGAAGCAAACATGCCTGATTTTCGCAAATACTTGCTTGTTTAGCTCTTTAACAGGTGGAACACTGATGACTATGGTTTCAATTAATCATGGACTTCCTTCCTCAGTACACACCCATATCACTCACATATCATTCTGGGCACAGATCCATTTACTGTCTTTCTCTTTAAATGATTACTCCCTGTTCTCTTTTAAACTATCTTCTATAATGTTCTCAAAAATTGAGACGCATCATAGAATCACATAGGGAACTTTAGAAATAATATCAATGCTCAGACCTAATTCAGTTCTACGCAATCAAAATATCTAAAGCTTGGGACCAGCATTAGGATGTTTTTAAAGTTCCCCAGGTGACCTAAATGTGCAGGTAGACTTCAGAACCACTGTGTTACAGCATGGCCTCAAACTTTAGTCAGCATCAAAACCATCTAGAGGGTGAGGCAGTATGCTAGATCCACCCAAGTACCCAAAGTGGAATCTGAGAATCTCCATCTCTAATACATTTCCCAAGGATGCTAATGCTGCTGGGTCAGGAGACCAAACTTTGAGAACCCCTGACCTTGAGACCTTGCTTTTCCCATGAGGTTGTAATTCCAAACTTTGAAGTAACCAACATGTTAGAAGCAAACATGCCTGATTCACATCTTCATACATGTATACTATAGTAGTAATTCCCAATCTTAGTTACATTTCAGTTGAATATTCAGTAGGAATTCCCAATCTTGATTGCATTTCAGTTGCTTGGGGGTCCTACCTACCAGTAAGATCCTGCTCTAAGACAGGCTTTAGGCATCAGGAAGTTTTAAAGTCTCCAGGTGTGCAGGCAAGTTTGAAAAACAGCTGAGTTAGACTTTCTTAATATTCTTAAGTTTCAGAATTACTATTCAACAAAGTTTTGATTTTATATACCACTGTCTATTTGTTGAAAGCACGTATTTGAAAATGCCACTTCTGTGATATTAAATATCCAAGGGACTTGCTCAAGTGTGTGGTGGCTAAAATCAAAGGGGAAAAAAAAACACACAATAACAAAAGCAAGAAAATTGCCTTAAGCCTCCTGATTCAAAACATGAAAAGAAAAATGTGAATTTCCTACTTTAGAAAAAAAAATGCCAAATATACTCTATGCCAGACAGATGGCTGGATATTCACAGACAAAAGCTAACCAAAGCATGCCTACATCCTTAGAAACCCAAAGCCACCCCTGTGTGGATTAGCTACTCTTTGGCTGACAATGCTTTGTAGCTCTTATTTGTATCCTTTGATACAGCAGAAAAGATCAAATAAAGAACGTCTCAATTTATTATCTCCTATTTGAGAGGGAAGGAGAGAAAGAATGTCAGAGGCTTCCTTTATTTACCAGAACTGCCTCAGCAACTATAAAACAATGTTCCATTCTACTGACATTATCTCCAAAACACTCCTACTTCCCTCCTCCACTTGGTGAAAATTTCAATGCACTAGAACACTATCTTCAAAGGAGTGCATGTTTATGCACATTGAAGATAATGTCAATGTAATGGAACATTGTCAAAAGATCACAATTCTAATTCCTCCATGGAGTCAGTGAAAATATTTCAAAGGGAATTTAGAAACCATTCTGGAAGGTAAAGGAACCAAAGTCAAAATAGTCACAGTCGGTAATCATAAAAATCTAGAAACAATGATGGTGTTAAGAAAGAGAAGTTTAGCTGGGTATGTGGTGTCACATGCCTGTAACCTCAGCAACTTGGGAGGCTTAGGCAGGAGGATCATTCAAGGCCAGTCTCAGCAACATAGTGAGAAAAAGTCTCAAATATACAAAAATTAAAAGGTCTGGGAATGCAGCTCAGTGGTAGAGTGCCCCTGGATTCAATCCCTAGCATTGGGAGGCAGCTGGTGGAGGAGTGGGGAGGATATACATTGCAACCCCTGCCATTGCTAAACAATAAAACAAAGCATAACACAGCAAGTGTTAAAGTTTAGATCATAAACGTCTTTCAAAAGTCTGTGTGCTGAAGGCTCAGTCCCCAGCTGATGGTGTTATTGGTGGTTTTAGAGCCTTTAAGAGGTGGAGCCTAGTGGAAGGAAGTTAGGTCACTGAGGGCAGGACCTTGAATTGGATATTGGGACTCCAGTCTCCTCTCTGCTTCCTGGGCCACCATGAGGTCATCAGCTTCACTCCACCACTTGCTCCCCATCATGATGTTCTGCCTTCCCACAGACCAAAATGATAGGGCTAAGTGACCATGGACTGAAAACTCTGAAACTGTAAGCCCAAATAAGTGTTTCCTTTTTATAAACTGATTATCTCAGATATTTTGCCATATCAATGGAAAACTGACTAACACAGTAGATGTCTAACTTTGGAAAGACCATGTTTCTACTCCTGGGTCTATAAATTATAGAAATATCTGCACATGTACATCAAGAGGTGGTGAAGGAACATTTACAAAGGGATTTCTTATAACAGGTCCAAACTGGAAATCCATTCAGATGTCCACCAGTAACTAAATGGTAGTAAATTCCTACAACAGAAAATAAAAGCACAACATGCAACATGTATGACATTCAGTAACATAATGTTGAGCAAAAAAGGCAGACACAAAATCTGTTGTCTGCTTCCATTTATATGAAGCTCAAACAAGGACAAATAATTGAAGAGAATGGAAACATTTGCTCTGGAGGGAGTGATTAGGGCCCAGCTGCAGGTGGATGGGCTGCTGGTAATGCTTTATTTCTTGGTCTAGGTGTTGGCAACTCAGTGATCATTCTGTGATAAATCAGTAAATTCTCCATTCTTTTTAACACTTTTCTGTATGAATTATATTTAAACAACAACACAAAACCCTCTGAGGTTTTGCTCCTGGTATAGGAAGCTCTCCTCCTTCACTGTCTACACAGCACACTGCTGAAATTCCTCCAGGCCTCTTGCCTTTGGCCAGCACCAATTCCCTAGGTCAGTTTAGGGGCTCTTTCTATTTGTTTCCATTATCCCCTGTAACCGCAGTGACTTACTGCATAGTTAGCATGCATGTAAGCCTTAGTTTACTCACTAGATTAAAGACAGACTCTAAGGTAGTATCCTTGTACCTAAACGTTAATGAGCATCCAGCACTTAGCATCTTCTAATCAAAGGTGAAAGAAAGGCATTTCCAAAGCATTACATACCCTTTCTCTTCACTAATTTTTGTCTTCTGGAATTTCTATAGCTGGGAAGGGTGGAGCACATCTATAATCCCAGCAGCTCTGGAGGCTGAGGCAGGAGGATCCTGAGTTCAAAGCCAGCCTCAGCAACTGACCAATGTCCTAAGCAACTTAGTGTGACCCTGTCTCTAAATAATACATAAAAAAGGGCTGGGGATGTGTCTAAATGGTTAGGCATTCTTGGGTTTAATCCATGGGACAAAAAAAAAAATAGAATTTCTATAGATAATACTCCATTCAATAACCTACCATCAAAGAGGGAAAAAAAAACTACTACTAGATCACTTCAGTCTCTGGGTTTTGAGGTCCTCTTACTTTTCTCATTGCAGATATTTCCCAACTTTACTAAGAACATTCAGCAGAATTAAAACTTCTGTTTTTTGAATTAAATGTTGAGCCAGCTACTTTTCCCAGACTGAGGATTGCATTAGGAAATCACGGTAAATAAGTAGATGCTACGAGAACCATAAATAGTAGAAATAAATTTGTCTGTCTAGATGACAGTAAGACTTTATCCTTCCTTACAGATGCTAGGACTCTAGAGACCTGAGTCAAACAAGTGGGTCCAAAGTATAAACATGCACTCAAAGTATGAAATATAGTATGCAAACGGTTCCAAAAGAAAAGGGAAACTGGGCATGCCCCACCCCTTTGGGTTTTAAAACTTAGCATGGAACTGTGCCCTAACCTTTCAACCCCTAAGTTCCCTGAATCATTCAGAATTTCTGTCTTCAAGAGGTAATGAAAAAAGGAAGTCTCCTTGAAGGCAAATCAGCCTTTATGCCACCTGACTGGTTTTCAGGAACACATTTCTGTTCTGTTCCCAAACCTGACAAGATAATTCACAAAGGCCTTCATAATTGACAGCCTCAAGACGAGCACTTCTTGAATCTCATATCTGGCAATCCAACCCGGCTAACTCGGGCATTATGTTATTGAATATCATTCATGTTGCATGTAGTGCCGGCTCATTTTTAGTGTTCTTTGTTTTCTATTATAGAGGGTGATTTCTTCCCCACTTCCTTTCTCTTCTCAAACAAAGACTTCAACACAGAGCTAGAGAGAAAAAGAATAAGGCATGCCCACCTGTAGCCCAGTCCTTGGATCAGCTTACTCCCCAGCCTTTCCTGGATCATCTGGATAGTTCCTTGTAACAGGCTCTTGACAGCTGAATCTCCCACAGCTATAGCAACAATTCGACCCGGATCCTGGACTCTCAGAAATTCCTCAAGTCGCCTGCTCTCATTTTGGTACTCATGCGTATCAAACTTCACATTTTCCAAAATTTTGGCCGTGTCTTGGTCAATGACCCTCACATTGAGGCCCCGGGAAAAGTCCTTCTCAAAGGTATAGGACCCAAATGGCAAGCCTGAGGTATTCAGCGTCTTTGTCAACAACGTCCACGATGTCTTCCGTGCCCCATGTAACTCCAGTGTCCCGCCAGCTTCCACGCCAATAAACTTTTTGCCAAATGTTGGCATACTTTCGCCTTCATCTGATTTGCCATACAAAGCAATTGTCGCTTTGGATTTATAGCGGCATTTTTCTGCTCCAATATGAAGCGCCCCACCATCCTGGATCAGGATGTAACGAGTCCTCAAAGTAATATTTCTGGATCCATCTTTATCATCCCCAAATACAAGCAGCCCTGTAGGGAACAACATTATTGTAGGCCAACTTCTGGAACATCTTTCTGAGACACACGGGAATAGATTTCCCCTCAAGTAGGAAAAGAGAAAGAAAGAAAAGATAACACTTCCACTATTAAGTTAGGAAAAATTTGCTTAGAAACTGAAACTAGTCTTCAAAATAAAGCCAATGAAAAAGTGAAGAGTTGATATTTCAATCCATTCAATTTAGAAATAAATCATTTCTAGAAAAAAATAACTAAGAGTCTAGAAATCTGAATCTCATATTTGTTTATGCAAACCCATGTTAACTCTCTCATCATTCTCCATCAGTTGTAACACAGATTCAGCTTGCAAATAATCACCTTTCTTGTTCTCTATCTGTAAAAAGGATCGAGTGATTTGTAAGGTCCTTAGAGTTTTTGAATTCCATGGCTCAATCTTGGAAACACATTTCCATGGTTAGAGTGACATTCTATCCCCAAATCTATGCCATTTAAGAATAGTTTATAAGGAACAGCAAATATCCCCCATATTAAAGATCAACCTTGCAGTCTCTGCAGGCAGGGACAATTACCTACCTCCATTCTCAATGACAATTGAATTCACCGTGACATCTGACGTCAGGCGGAACATATCTCCCTCCTTGATAACAACTTGTTTTGCAGGATCTTGTCCTGGTTCCCAGTTCCTGAGATGCGGGTTTTGATCTGGGCAATTCTCTATAAAACAACACAACGCTGATATCCCATCCAACCCAGCAAAAGGCAAGAATACCAGTAACCAAATCCAAGCATTCTCACTACTACATATAGTTTTGCAAGTAAGGTGTTGATATATTTTGATTTCCTAACATCAGGGTAGAAATTCCATCCCTTTCCTATACTGTCCCAACATTTAAAAAAAAAAAAAAATGGTTACCACAAAACTAAGTGGACAGCATTTAGTTCAGGTCAAACTTCACAAGGCAAAAAGGAAGTTCCCCCAAACCATCTACTCTGGAAATAAATTCACAGTAAGAAGTGAAATTATAAATTACCCTTGGACTCACACTAAGTTGTTTTAGAAAAGAAAATATAGGGCTGGAGATGTAGCTCAGTGGTAGAGCACTTGCCTAGAATGTGTGAATCCTGGGTTTGACCACCACCACCACAAAAAGGAAAAAAAAACACAACATATTGGTAAGTGAAAAATGGAGATTGCTAAATAATACGTAGATTAGATATCCACAAGTTCTTTCCTATGCACAGTGAATCACAAAGTGGGCAATCGTAGCACCTCCTTCCAAGGCAGAGGCTGAGGAATACTAGCATCTTCAGTCATGTGTGCTTTCCCATGAAACTGCAAGAGGCAAGCAGCCACAAACACCACCTCTCATTTGCAGAGATGAGGAAATTTCAGATTAGGGGAGCCAAACCCAAGATCACTTAGCAAGCTGAGTAATGAGAAAGTTTTGCTTCTAAGAAATGAGGTTCTTCACTGATAGTGTTCCTTTACTAGAATTACAACTTGCCTCTCGAACAGGTGACAGTGAAGCTGCAGCTGTTTATGCATGAAATCCTTATTTTGTGCCACAATGAGAAAGAGGGAGGGGGAAAATCACACCTTCACTTCTGATCAACTAATGACCAAGTATTTGTTGAAGATTGATTTGTGCATTTGTAATACATACTATAAAACTTCTAAAGCATAAAATGAGCTCACATTCAAGTTTACCTGCTAGCTTAGAAGAAAAAGCCATCAGGTATAATATAATTATGTGCTGAGCAAGGTGGTAGTTACTTTAAGGTACAAATGACCTCAGGGGAGGATGGGGCCAAAGTAATTGCAGTAACTTCATGAAACAGTTGGCACTAGATCTAGACCCCAAAAGATGGATAATATTTAAACAGGATGAGCACGAAAGGGAGATAAAAATACTAGATATGCATGTATCCCCTGCCATCCAAGTCCACATGATTCATCAATCTAGACTAACAAATCACTGAATTTAAACTAAGCAAAGGTAGTAATAAGAAAGATAATGCTCGAGAAACATATGAAGAGCCAGGCATGGTAACATACGCCTATAATCCCAGTGGCTCTGGAGGCTGAAGCAGGAGGATCGGGAGTTCAAAGTCAGCCTCAACAACTTGGAGAGGTCTTAAGCAATTTAGTGAGACCCTGACTCAAAATTAAAAAAAAAAAAATGGCTAGGGGTATAGCTCAGGGGTTAAAAAATACTGCTGGGTATTTAGTATCTAGGAACTAAGGCTGGGGAAGGGGGAAGAAACACATGAAGATATATCTTTGTTAAAGTGGCAAACTGAGTGTAACACAAAAGAAATTCTATATGGGAAAATTTCTGATTCTTCCCTTTGAACTTGCATAACCTTCTGCGCCCCTCTTCCTGTTTCCAAGTGCCTATGTTGTCCTAGTCTTACTGCTTTCTCTTAGAGGTGACACTAACCACGCCTCAAATTAGTCCCACTCGCTAAGTCTGTGGCAATTACTTTAGGAAATAATTTTTCTCACAGCAGCTGTTTTATGACTGATATTTAATTCTTCAGATAAATCAATGATCATCACTATTATACTAGAATCAATCCTTGGGACTGCAGGTATAGCTCAGAGGTGAAGCACTTTCCTAAGATGCACAAGGTCCTGGGTTCAATCTCTAGCACTGTAAAGAATAAAATATATAAAAATAAAAACAATCTGTCAAGCATGGTAACTCATACCAATAATCCCAGCAACACAGAAAAGGAGACAACTTAGCAAGACACTGTCTCAAAATAAAAAAGAAAAAGGGCTGGGATGCAGCTCAATGGTAAAGCATCCCTGGATTTAATCCCCAGAACAGAAAAGCAGGGTGGGAAGAAATCCTTCAACTTTTCATTCTCTTAAGGAAATAAGAATCTCTTAAATTTTTTTCTGACAACTACTAAGAATTTCTTGAACTTTTCTTCAACACCCCACTCCCCCATAAAACATCTAGCTGGAATTCTCCATGGAGTTATATAAGAAGCAAATGTAGCCATGGGACATGCCTGAAATACTGGCAACTGAGGAGGCTAAGGCAGGAGGATTACAAGTTCAAGTCCAGCCTCAGCAACTTAACAAGGTCCTAGAAACTTTGCAAGATCCAGTTTCAAAATAAAAAAAAGTTGGGCGGTGGGGACTGAGGATGTAAGTTAGTGGTAAAGTGTCCCTGGGTTCAATCTCCAATAAAAAAAAAAGAAAAAAGAAATAAAGTTAATTTATGCCACATGTAACAAGCACTATTCTCAGCTACAGAGAGGGAAATCCCATCCTTTGAAATCTGGAGTCCACTAAAACAGTTATATAATTCCTCTTAATTGTTTATAATTATTCCCCAGGGGAGCACTCTTCATTAGAACCATCACAAAAATTCCAATCTGTTCCCTTCCAGTAAAATTCACTTAATGACAAAATGTGTGGTGTGCAGACAGCAGTGAAAAACAGCTCAGCCAATCTCACCTTCTCAGCTACCCACTTTCAGAGTGGTAACAGCAAAATGCTGAGCCTAAAATTTTTCAGCATGCCAGGTCTTTCCATGGATAATCTGTATTTATATTGCCAAAATATGAAACTAAAGAATGTTGACTCAAGGAACCACATTAGCAATTCAACATTTTCAATGGACATGAAAATACAAAGGAAAGCCATAGACTTCAGCTCTGATTCCCACTATCTAACATCCCTTTACTGCAGATTACTTAGGAAGTATGAAACAGCAGAAGGGAACTTGCTTATTCTGCTGCAAAAAGGAGACAGGAAGTCAATACTGCATAGAATGGAAATCAATGTTACAAATTTATAATGTATTCTAATGGTTTGAGGAACAAAAATGTTGATACAAATCTTTCTTCTTTTGTATCTATCATCTCAGAAGCACTGGCACTAACCCCCCGCTCTTGGGGACCCAAAAGCATCTGAGAAAACTAAATAAAATAATGTTTTTAAGTCTTATAAATGGCAAAATGTCCCTCAGCTGTTATATCCAGTTAAGGAAGCATCTAATTTAACTAAAAGTGTAGGGAAAATCTATTATAGAGTTTGTTTAAAAAAAAAAAAAGTAGACAAATACAGCATCCAAACCAGGCTGAAATGGTCTGATGATCTCAGTCACAGCCCTGAGCCCTCTGAGTTTTGGAAGATACACAGGTTTCTTTTATGAGGCAATTCTTTGTTAGTGTTTTATTAAAACTGAATGACAACAAAATTCTTCAAAACCATTCAAAGTAAATATATTATCATTGAATTGCTGACATTGTTTCTTGAAAAGCAAAGACCATTCAAGAAATAAAAACCTCCCTACATGATATTTAACTATGAAGTATTGGGTGATTTTTTTTTTTTAAGTGTCAGAATTTACACATACTCAGAGAGGCTTTGCTTCAAGGATGTACACTGTATATAACTAAAAAATATTTAAAGCTCCTCCTTTGGAACTATCTACTAAGCTTATTCCAAAACATATTATGATTAACACCAATTTATCATATTTATGACACAAAAACATACTTTCAATAGTCCAAAAATCATTCTACCACAAAGGATGAAATTGTGCTACCGCAAGAATTCAGTAAATACTCTTAAAAGCATTTCCAAAAGAGAGATTCCAAGAACAACTTGAGCACCAGGACCAAGGGGAAAAATAGCAAAGAAGAGCAAATCTTTGAAATTTATAATTTCCAATGGATTCCTTGAACAACTGTTCTTATTCATAACAGGTTCATATTGCCTAACTGTGTCTTGGCTTGCTAGAGCTAACTTATGGAAAAAAAAAAAGTTTTTAAAAATTATTCCAATATTTCCTCCTTTCTTCTTTGGGAATGTGTTCTAGGTATGCAGCATATACACACATGCGCGAGCGCACACACACACACATATACTTACCATCTGGAGCATATTTTGAGGATATTCCTAAAATGACTGCAAGTGCAACAAAAAATGAGAAACTAGTTATAGCAAAGCAAATGAAAGTATTCTTGTGTCGCTTCTGCTTCCGGCTTGCTCTCTGTGTTTGCTGTTCTTCAGGTGAGAATGCAAAGGCTGCCTGTGCTTCTTGTCGGATGGAGGTAAACTTGGCTGAAGCTTGGCTCTTTGGAGGAGGAGGGGGACGCAGGGGAACGACCTTTCCTGGAACATAACCAGGTGATCGATGGCTGTTTCCATTCTGAGTTTGCAGGAAAGCAGGGGAGTGTCCCCTGGAATCAGTGGCATACATGATACCCTGTCACTGTGAAAAGAAAAAAATAATACAGTTCAGAATATGTAAATTATAATGTCTTTTAAGAGGTGTTTTTTTATTATTGTCGCAAAATACACACAATATAAAACTTGCCATTTAACCATTTTTAAGTTCTGTGGCATTAAATATATTTACAAAGTTGTGCAACCATCACCACCATCCATTTCCAGGACTTTTTCATCATCCCAAACAAAAATTCTATGCCCATTAAATAATTCCCTATTCCATCCCAACGCTGATAACCACTGTAATGACTTTTTGAAAATCTCAAGTCAGCTTACATCCCTGATGTAATAAATTATGTCAACAGTCACCTTCACTAATTGTCCTCTAATACCACTGCTTCTCTACTCCAGCTGCCCATTATAATCACCTGCTAATGCTAATACCGAGGCCACATCCCCAAAACAATTAAATCAGGATGGCTAAGCCAGGATGGGAGCATCTGAATCTTTTAAATGTTCCCCAAGTGAATCTAGCAAGCCTCTAGAGCCAACTGCCTCACCAGCTGTTCTCAATTTTCATCATGCCTAAGAACCACCAGGGAAGCTTGTTAAAAATGTAGATTCCTGGGCTCTCTGCCCCTGTGCTTATGGTCCAAATGATTTTACTTTTATTTATTTATTTATTTGTCTGTTTATTTATTTATTTTTTAATGAACTTTAGTAACACTGAAGCAGCTGGTCACACTTGGAGAATTATTATGCTAAGTTCTTTAAACTGAAATTCTTTAAACTCAAAAATCCTATGAGCACCATGGGTGGCCCTTGAAAGTTCCAACAGAGAGGTGTTCATGTTTGGGTGTTGAATTTTCCCACTATCTTTGGGTTAAGCAATTTAAGTATTTCTACCTGTGTTCTCACTTCATTACAGACTCTGAATCATTGGGTGGGAAAGCCTAAAGTCTATCTTATCTCTTTAAATTGTACATTTCTTTTCTTAAAAAAGCAGACATTCAAATATTATGGTTCAAGTGATTTAAAAAAAAAAAAAACGAAAACAGCTAACATGTACTTCCTGCCAAACACTGTTCTAAACACCTCATGTGTTATTAACTCACTAATAACAGACTGCATACAACAAATCTACAAGTAGGTACCATTATTCCCATTTTGCCCATGAGAAAAAACGGAGACCCAGAAAGGTTAATAAGCTTTCCCAAACATCAAACAACTAGTGCAGACAATCAAGACTTAGACCCAGGTACTCTGACTCTGAAGTTAAGGCTCTAAAGTTACACACTGCATCTTTCCAAACAGTTGAGAGGAAATAACTTTAAAGAATGCATTTTTCCAAGAATGTGATAAGAACCTTGCTGGGCGTGGAAGAGCATATTGTCAGGAATTTTTCATGTAGAACCTCACTAGACTATAGTACACAGTTGTTTTTTTATCTAGGAAAAGCTCTCTCTCTCTCTCTCTCTCTCTCTCTCTCTCTCTCTCTCTCTCTCTCTCTCTC